TGGTTCAACGTGGAGAAGGACAAGCTCTTCTGCCTGCTAACGGTTCTCCTATTCCTCTACCCTTGTTTCCATCTTCGCCCTTCCGCCTAATCGTCTCTCCCCTCAATACCAGGGCACATGGTTCAACGTGGAGAAGGATAAGCTCTTCTGCCTGCTGGGGCCCAACGGGGCAGGCAAGAGCACCACCATTCACTGCCTCACCGGCATCCTCCCCACCAGCGCTGGCGACGGTACGTCTCATGCCCTTGGCAGCTCGGCAGTATGTCAGGTTTCATGCCCCGGTGTGTTGCTCTCACCTGCTGGGACCCAGCGGGGCGGGCAAGAGCACCTCCATCCTCTGCCTCACCGGCATCCTCCCCACCAGCGCTGGCGACGGTACGTCTCATGCCCTTGGCAGCTCGGCAGTATGTCAGGTTTCATGCCCCGGTGTGTTGCTCTCACCTGCTGGGGCCCAACGGGGCGGGCAAGAGCACCACCATCCACTGCCTCACCGGCATCCTCCCCACCAGCGCTGGCGACGGTACGTCTCATGCCCTTGGCAGCTCGGCAGTATGTCAGGTTTCATGCCCCGGTGTGTTGCTCTCACCTGCTGGGACCCAACGGGGCGGGCAAGAGCACCACCATCCACTGCCTCACCGGCATCCTCCCCACCACCGCTGGCGACGGTACGTCTCATGCCCTTGGCAGCTCGGCAGTATGTCAGGTTTCATGCCCCGGTGTGTTGCTCTCACCTGCTGGGACCCAACGGGGCGGGCAAGAGCACCACCATCCACTGCCTCACCGGCATCCTCCCCACCACCGCTGGCGACGGTACGTCTCATGCCCTTGGCAGCTCGGCAGTATGTCAGGTTTCATGCCCCGGTGTGTTGCTCTCACCTGCTGGGACCCAACGGGGCGGGCAAGAGCACCTCCATCCACTGCCTCACCGGCATCCTCCCCACCAGCGCTGGCGACGGTACGTCTCATGCCCTTGGCAGCTCGGCAGTATGTCAGGTTTCATGTCCCGGTGTGTTGCTCTCACCTGCTGGGGCCCAACGGGGCGGGCAAGAGCACCACCATCCACTGCCTCACGGGAATTCTCCCCACCAGCGCTGGCGACGGTATGTGTCTGCTATCTTCTCTCCTCATGGCATACGCATCTGGTCTTGAATCCGTGTGAGTCAACTCACCAGAGCACCACCATCCACTACCTCACTTGCATCCTCCCCACCACCGCTGGCGACGGTACGTGTCTCATATCTGCTCTGTCTATGGCTGGAGGCCCGTATGCATCAGGTCTTAAATCCGTGAGTCAACTCACCAGAGCACCACCATCCACTGCCTCACAGGCATCCTCCCCACACCCTCCCACACCCACCTTCCTTCCCCCATCCCCCAGGCCTCATATACGGCCATTCCATCCGCGACCCAGGCAGCATGGCGGCCATCCGCGCCATCATGGGCGTGTGTCCGCAGTTTGACATCCTCTGGAGCAGCCTCCCCAGCCAGGAGCACCTCTTCCTCTTCCTCTTCGCACTCCCTTACTCCCTTGTCATGTCTCCCCTCCTCTCCCCTCCTCTCCCCTCCTCTCCCCTCCTCTCCCCTCCTCTCCCCTCCTCTCCCCTCCTCTCCCCTCCCTTCCCCACGCCCTCGCCCGCGCCTTCCCTCTCCCCCCCCCTTAGGTCTGATATACGGGCACTCCATCCGCGACCCAGGCAGCATGGCGGCCATCCGAGCCATCATGGGCGTGTGTCCGCAGTTTGACATCCTCTGGAGCAGCCTCACCAGCCAGGAGCACCTCTTCCTCTTCGCCCGCATCAAGGGCCTCCTCCCCTCCCAAATCCCCAAGGAATGCTCCATGCTTCTAGAAGAAGTCAAGCTCACAAACGTCACCCGCAGCCGCACGAGCGGGTACAGCGGGGGCATGAAACGCCGCCTGTCTGTCGCCATTGCCCTTATCGGCGACCCCAAGATTGTTTTCCTCGATGAACCGACCACCGGAATGGACCCGGTATCCCGCCGGCACGTGTGGGATATCATCGAGCGGGCCAAGCGCGGGCGGGCGATCGTGCTCACGACGCATTCGATGGAGGAGGCGGATATTCTCGGGGATCGGATCGCGATCATGGCTAAGGGGCGGATGCGGTGCATCGGGACGTCGATTCACTTGAAGAACCGGTTTGGGGCGGGGTTTGTGGTGACTGTGGGCGTGCGGAGGCCCGCGAGGGTGGTAAACGCTGCTGGTGGTGCTGAGAATTCCGCGGCTGAGACGTCGAACGGGTCGTCTCCGCTGTCGTCCTCTGCTGTTTCACCTGACGGAACACCTGGGGACAACGTGGAAGCGGTGAAGGGGTTCTTTTATGATCGCCTGGGAGTGCAGGCGGAGGAGGAGTCGCAGGGGTACATCACGTTCCTGGTGCCGCGCAGCAAGGAGACCATGCTCACGGTGAGACCCCCCTTTCGAACCCCCTTCCCTCACATGTTTTTCCGCGAGCTCAAGGAAAATGGCATTCCAGAGAACTGTCAGTTTTGTCACTGGAGGAGCTGTTTCTCACCATGCGTCCATCCGCCCTCCGCCCCCCTCTCCCCTCAACAGACGTTTTTCCGTGAGCTGAAGCAGAAGAAGAGGGAGTTGGGCGTGATAGAGACGCACCTGTCGCTGTCGACGCTAGAGCAGGTGTTTCTCACTGTGCCCTATCCGCCCTCATTCCTATCCACCCCCTCCCCCAATACAGACATTTTTCCGCGAGCTGAAGCAGAAGAAGCGGGAACTCGGCGTGACAGAGACGCACCTATCGCTGTCCACACTGGAGGAGGTGTTTCTCACCATCGCCCGCAAGGCTGAGCTTGAGACGGCGCAAGTGGAGGAGCGGTTTGAGGCCATCACCCTTGTGGATGGCCGCACCCTTCAGGTACGAATTTATGGGTGGTCTGAAGTGGTCCGAAGTTGTTAGGAGCGGTTTTGGAGCCACCGCCATGTTGGACGGCCGTCGCTGTCCACACTGGAGGAGGTGTTTCTCACCATCGCCCGCAAGGCTGAGCTTGAGACGGCGCAAGTGGAGGAGCGGTTTGAAGCCATCACTCTTGTGGATGGCCGCACTCTTCAGGTACGGCTGGCTGATGGGTGGTTCAAAGCGGTCTGAAGTGGTTAGGAGTGGTTTAGAGCCATGAATAGGTGTTTCTTACCATCGCCCGCAAAGCTGAGCTTGAGACGGCGCAAGTGGAGGAGCGGTTTGAGGCCATCACCCTTGTGGATGGCCGCACGCTTCAGGTATGGTTGATGCGGTGGTTGGAAGCGGTGTAAAACGGTAAGGAGCGGTTTGAGGCTTTTAGCATCACCTATCTTGGCCCTGCAAAACTAACGAGCGCTTGTCAGTTTGCTATTGGCTAATGCTGGTTCGTCCCCTGTGGTCTTCTATTCTAATGTCCACTTGGCAGGTTCCGATTGGTGCAGAGTGTGTGGCCATCCCTCCGTCGGCCTCGGCCAATGAGGAGGATGCTGACGTGGACGCGGGACAATCACAGCCACTCATGGTGGTGGATATTACATGGCATCAGGACGAAGCTGGGTGTCTGCGCATTGCCTCATACTCCGAACCTAGACAAGCTGACTCGGGGGAGCTGAATGTGACCAAGGGCTTTTGAAAGTCCGCCCCTTGAATGCTTGCTCTGCACATCCCCTTGATAGTCCGAATCTAGGCAGGCCGAGTTGGGGGAGCTAAATGTGAGCGAGGGCTTTTAAAGTGCCCCTTGTGCACCCTGCATATCGCCTTGAATTACCTGGACCTACACAGGCCGGGCCTGGAGTTCTGAATGTGAGAGAGGGCGTATCTCTGCACATTGCCTCATACTCTGACCCTAGGCAGGCCGCGTTGGGGTAACTGAATGAGTACGGGCCAAAATAGACTTTTACTCTGAACCTAGTCAGGGCTTTTGAATGCCAAGCCCCGGACCATTGGATACAGTTGTCTCACTTGCTAGTAAGTGTATATGCTCTTAGTGTTTTTGTGGCACCTAAAAAAGAATCGCTTCACTAGCAAGTTAGTGTATACATTTCAAAGAGCAAGCTTGTCTGCGCATTGCCTCGTACGCTAAACATGGGCAATTGCACCTAGTGGATTCCTCACATGGCAGATATTCGTGGGTCCCTAATGGTATGAGCATTCACACACATGGTCCCATAGAGTGGCGCCATGCATACATATGCACAGACACACATGCAAACCCACATGCACGGGCACACATGCACACACATGTACACACATGCACACACATGCACACACATGCACACACATGCACACACATGCACACACATGCACACACATGCACACACGCATGCACGGACACACATGCATGCATACACATGCACAGACACACACACATATGCAGAGACACATCCACGGACACACATGCAAACACATGCACACACATGCACAGACACACCAAAGGGCAGAGAGAGGTTAGCAAGGAGACAAAGAAAAGCCAGCCAACACTTCACAGAGCACCTGACAGAACACCTGACGGAATACCTGACAGAACACCAGGTACCCCACAGGGAGGGCTGCTTGCTTTTTTTACAATCCTCAGAAATGACTCGGATATCCTTATATATCAGGGTACCCTGATATACTCTGATATCCCTTAGAGGTCAGGTATCAGGGTCAGGTACCTGTAAGGGAGGGCCACTAGAGTTACACACCTGACGGGGAAGCGGAGGTGAAGGCAGGAAGAAAGTTGGATGGGCGTGTGTGTGGCGACAAAGGCAATGCCCCCTGCGCCCCTGTGTTCTTCAATCATTCCCTCTAGCAGCTCAACGCCAGCCAGGTCCAGCCCTACGGATGGCTCGTCTAATAGCCACAATGAGCGCGGGATGGCCACGAGCCGAGCCAGCTGCAGGCGCTTGCGCTGGTAGCGGGGGAATGGCAGGTGAGTGAGGGGAAAAGAGGGGACTAAAGGCCCTGTGCTCCTCAATCATCCCCTCTAGCAGCTCAACCCCAGCCAGGTCCAGCCCCACCGATGGCTCATCTCATAGCCAGAGGGAACGAGGTATGGCGAGCAGCCGCGCCAGCTGGAGGCGCTTGCGCTGGTGGAAGCGGGGGAATGGCGGGGGAGTGAGGGGAAAAGAGGGGACTGAAGGCCCTGTGCTCCTCAACCATCCCCTCCAGCAGCTCAACGCCAGCCAGGTCCAGCCCTACGGATGGCTCGTCTAATAGCCACAATGAGCGCGGGATGGCCACGAGCCGAGCCAGCTGCAGGCGCTTGCGCTGGTAGCGGGGGAATGGCAGGTGAGTGAGGGGAAAAGAGGGGACTAAAGGCCCTGTGCTCCTCAATCATCCCCTCTAGCAGCTCAACCCCAGCCAGGTCCAGCCCCACCGATGGCTCATCTCATAGCCAGAGGGAACGAGGTATGGCGAGCAGCCGCGCCAGCTGGAGGCGCTTGCGCTGGTGGAAGCGGGGGAATGGCGGGGGAGTGAGGGGAAAAGAGGGGACTAAAGGCCCTGTGCTCCTCAATCATCCCCTCTAGCAGCTCAACGCCAGCCAGGTCCAGCCCGACTGATGGCTCGTCCAGGAGCCACAATGAGCGGGGTATGGCGAGCAGCCGAGCCAGCTGCAGGCGCTTGCGCTGGTAACGGGCGAATGGCGGGGGGGTGAGAGGAAAAGAGGGGACTGAAGGCCCTGTGCTCCTCAATCATCCCCTCGAGAAGCTCAACCCCAGCCAGGTCCAGCCCTACAGATGGCTCGTCTAACAGCCAGAGGGAACGCGGGATGGCTAGTAGACGAGCCAACTGCAGGCGCTTGCGCTGTTTGACAGAGGTGGAAGAGTGGGGGGGGTGGGGGGGAAAGCAAGGGCAGCATTATCGCTATCAGCAGCGCCACACCCCCCACGTCCAGCCCCACGGAGGGCTCGTCCAGCAGCCAGAGAGAGCGGGGAATGGCGAGCAGCCGAGCCAGCTGTAGACGCTTGCGCTGTTCTTGTTCAAAGGGAGGTGTGTGGGTGTGCCGGTGTGTGGGTGTCCCGGTGTGTGGGTTTGCCGGTGTGTGGCTTTGCCGGTGTGTGGGTTTGCCGGTGTTTGCCGGTGTGTGCAGGTGCGCGATTCGAAACACACAGATAGAAGCGTCCGCAGATGACACCTCCCCCAGAACTCACCTGTCCCATGCTGAGAATGCTCGCTGGCTCTCTGGACAGGTGCTTCAGCCCAACAACCTCCAGCGCCCACAAGACACCTCCCCCACATGCACCTTTCCCAGGGCAGAACGCACCTGCCCCATGCTGAGAATGCTGGCCGGCTCTCTGGACAGGTGCTTCAGCCCAACAGCCTCCAGCCAGCGCCCATGCTAGCCTTTCACACAAACAGCCTCTCCCAAATAGCACCTGTTCCAAATGACACCTCCCCAAGAACGCACCTGCCCCATGCTGAGAATGCTGGCTGGCTCTCTGGACAGGTGCTTCAGCCCAACAGCCTCCATCACCCACAAGACACCTCCCCCACATGAACCTTTCCCAGGGCAGAACTCACCTGTCCCATGCTGAGAATGCTGGCTGGCTCTCTCGACAGGTGCTTCAGCCCAGCAGCCTCCATCACCCACAAGACATCTCCCCCACATGAACCTTTCCCAGGGCAGAACGCACCTGTCCCATGCTGAGAATGCTGGCTGGCTCTCTCGACAGGTGCTTCAGCCCCACAGCCTCCAGCGCCCATGCCACCCTCTCCTCCGTGCCTTCTAGTAGCGCCCATGTGCGCTGGAGGAGGGGTTTATAGAGAAAGAGCGGGAATTGAAGGTTAACCACAGAGTCACACTCTCCTGCCTCCAGCGCCCATGCGACCCTGTCCTCCGTGCCCTCTAGTAGCGCCCACGTGCGCTGGAGGAGGGGTTTATAGAGAAAGAGCGGGAATTGAAGGTTAACCACAGAGTCACACTCTCCTGCCTCCAGCGCCCATGCGACCCTGTCCTCCGTGCCCTCTAGTAGCGCCCACGTGCGCTGGAGGAGGGGTTTATAGAGAAAGAGCGGGAATTGAAGGTTAACCACAGAGTCACACTCTCCTGCCTCCAGCGCCCATGCTACTCTGTCCTCCGTGCCCTCTAGTAGCGCCCACGTGCGCTGGAGGAGAGATGGGTGGGGAGGGAGAGCGGGCAGGTGAAGGAGTTTTTTATGGTGCCCATCAGATGCACGTTCACTCCCAGAGATTGTGATGCCGTGCCTGCGGTGTGGTGTGGTGTGGTGTGGTGTGGTAAAATGTGGTGTGTGCTGTGTTATGTGGGGTTTACCCAGGGGGAACTCACCACATTGTCGTCAATGATGGCGTCCTTGGCGCCCATGAGATGCACGTTCACTCCCAGGGGGTGTGATGCTGTGGCTCGTGGTGTGGTGTGCTGTGGTGCGATGTGGTGTGATGTGGTGTGGCGTGCCGTGAGCTGTGGACCTGACCCAGGGAGCACTCACCACATTATCGTCAACAGTGAATGAGTTTTTGATGGCGTCCTTGGCGCCCATCAGATGCACGTTGACTCCCAGGGGGTGTGATGCCGTGGCTTGTGGTGTGGTGTGCCATGGTGGAGTGCAGTGTGGCGTGCCGTGAGCTGTGGGCCTGACCCAAGGAGCACTCACCACATTATCATCAACAGTGAATGAGTTTTTTATGGCGTCCTTGGCTCCCATCAGATGCACGTTCACCCGGTACACTGGGCATCAAATGTCATGCCGTGCCATGCCATGCCATGCCATGTTAACCAACACACACCAGGTGGAATGTCAGGTGGAAAACCAAGTAGAGTGTCAGATAGAAGCATGCAGCGACAAATTTTCGGGTTTCATTCGATTGACCCATGTCAACGACCTTTCTTCACTCACCCTCGCTACAGTCACAATCCTCGGGCAGGCACACCTCGCATAGCTGCACTCTCATTCCTCTCACATTCCTCTCTCTGTCACTCGTTACTGTCACACTCGTTACAAGAACACTCCTTACTGTCATATACATCTGGGTTCATGAGGCTGTGCCCTTGCCACATCAGATACCCCGCAGTGGGCTTTATGAACCCTGCCAGCTGGAGACACATGGATAAGGAGACACGTGGATAAGGAGACTCGTGGATAAGGAGAAACGTGGATAAGGAGACTCGTGGATAAGGAGACACGTGGATAAGGAGACACGTGGAGAAGCAACAAGACAGAGTCAGTGGGAGAGGGAGGAAGAGAAGAGAGTGAGGCTAGACAGTGAAAAGTAGGGACAGAGTCTCGTGATGATGTGAACATCCTTCTTAGGTTGTCCACGCCATACCTAAGAAGGAGGTTTCCAATGATCAGGTTTGGCTTCAACAACCTAAGTTACTCTAGCTTCTCATCAATCTCAGGAATGTGCTCTTCCCGCTGCCGTTAGGCCCCGTTAGAAGCACACCGTCGCCTTCATACACGCTCATGTTTATATCGCGTAGGACCACCTCGCCGCTGCGCATGCACGCGACGCGACTCGCGATTAATCTAGGTAGCTCGTCTGGCTGTAGCGTCGGCGCGAGAGGCGCTGCGGCGAGGTCTCTAGAAGAATCTAGGGATGACGTTTGTAGGCGCGACTCGGGATCCGACCAATAGGAAGGCTTGGGTGGTGGGATCTCCGGTCCAGGGTTGACACGTGGAGGGGGGAAAAAGTAGTTGAAGAAGGAGCGGCTCGGGGATGCGGATGGGTCGGACGGTGTTGATCTTAAGATGGATGGAGCGGCAGGCGCGAGAGGAGAAGCCAAGGTGTTACCGAGACAAGCAGGAATTCGAGGGTTAGGTTTAAACCGTGCCATAGTGACGGCTATCGACTGCTTACTCCTTACCAGCTACCGTGCTCCTTACTGTTCAGCTCTGGCTGGTCATAGCCCCTTATTCCTTGGTGTTTCTGAACTTGGCGGCTGTTTTTCGTTAGTGACATTTCGTTAGCAGTACGAGTATTCTAAAATGACTTGTCAATGCAAATTTTGAAATGATAAATGCATTTCGTACTTACGATACAAGCATGTCGGTCGGTTCGCGATAAAGGTGGATTCGCCAAATCCTTGCATGAAGTGGAGCCCGCGAAAAAGGTTTCCCGCTCTGACTTTGTCACTGCCTGTCAGCCAGCCAATAGCAACAAGTCAGAGCCTGAACCTGGATGGTTGTCCGACGGCATGCCAATCAAAACGTCCAGAAGTCAGCGAATACGGGCGACATGTATGCGACAGCCCTGAACGTTCGAAGTATTCAGCAAACGAGCTTGCAGCAGCAGCTGAACGAAATTCGCAAGTCTCGCTGAAACGTCATCAGTCTTCGCGAAGCCATCAACAAGTTGTCAGGAAGCTGTCGGCAACTCCGAAGAATCTCATCCATGACTAGTCTCTCATAAACTTTGAGAAGCAAGTTTAGCGAGGATATAGAAGATTCTCGGTCTAGAATAATCAAGTGCAAAATACTCAAGATGCTTTGCTCCTTACCCCTAAACTTATAAGTAACAGTACCTCTAGCAAGTGGACGTCACAACAGTGCGCCCCACTCTGGCTGTGACCGCTAGAAAGTAGGTATCGAAAGCATGCAACCGTCGTCGTCCAGTCTTCAAGAAAGGAATAAGAATGCGATTGTTGGTTGATTTGTCAGGCGAGACGTCCTTAAACGGCAGAGGCTCGTTATAGAATAGTTCTTCCTGCTTCATTTACTTAGCCGCCAGCACGAAATGGACGGTAGAAGATATAGACGACCGAATTCCCCGGTCATAGTTAACGATCAGGATTACGGCTCGAGCATGGCTCGAATGGATTCCTCCCCGCGGCCAGCCTTCAGCCCGAAGTTTCTCCCTCTCCTTCCTATTCCCGCGCGCAGTCCTAGTCCTAGTCGAATCCCGCAATATCGGGGATCCGGCAACGCAGCATCGCACATGAACATGAAACCTCTTAGCTTAGTACCAGAACGGCTCGACGAATCAGATCCATCCGCGACGCCAACTCCTCCACCGGAGCTTAATGATGATCATTCAGTGGCAGTCTGGGGTCTTCAAATTGCCGGACGTATCCGGCAGCTTCGGAACGCGGCTCGGGGCCTGATGCCGAAGCTGTACAGGCTGTCCAGGCTCGTTGACCTGGGTCCTCAGGACTCTCCCAAACCGCAGGACCAGGTTTGGAAATCGGGAATCGTGCCAGAGTTTCCGAAGCTGTGCACACACCTGTGGAGGAAGTTTCCGGAACATCCACGGAACTTGCAGCTTGATAAGGTGGACCGAACTGCTCTCGAGGTGTTCGCCAGCTTCGGCTCGCATTTCCAAGCCTCCCTGCAGCCCTGGTACGAGGTACGGACCGAACCACACAGAACAGTCGGTGCCTGGGTGCTCTGATGCCAAGTTCATTTGCTTGTCTACGAAGCTGTGGATGTGCTCTTTTCAGAGAACATTCTTGAGGCGCCAAAACATGGTGAAAGTTTTGAGGCGACTAAGTAGTTGTGAGATGACAACTTGCCAGATTACTCTTTGTTCTGCCCTCGAACGACTTGACAGGTGCTGGTGGACCTCGCTCTTTTTAGGGAACACGCCCTCGTTTTGCTGAACGATCTTGCCACCAGCATTGTCACACTCTCTGTAAGAACAAACCATGCCCTTTGGAGTGCTTGGGCCTGGTTTGAACCCTTTGGTCTTCACTGTTGTATTGCTCTTTTTCCTGTATTCCTTATTCCCTTCTCTTCCCTCGTCACTCTTGTGCTGGGGGGGCATTCCGCCAATCATGAACCCGCTTGTGCTTCGCTCCTTTATGATTCTTTCTTGTTGACTCAGAACTCGCCCCTGCTGTGTTTCCTTCCCTCCCTTTTCAGCCGATGGTGAACCCGCTCGTGCTTCGCTCCTTCATGGGCCTTTTCTCTGATTTCGTGCGAGTTAATCTCCTCTCTTAAGGGTGAGGGTGGAATCCTAGTTAATCTCCTTTCTCAACGAAAAAGGGTACATTGCGAGTCAATTTTCTCCCACTAGAAGTTGTAAGTTCATGCCCCCTCACATTGGGTATGTTACCATGATAATCTCCTCTTCCGTGGTTTCACGTGTTTGTGTGTGTGTGGTGATCAGGCAGGGAAGAAAATGATAGTGCAGGTGCATGCACTGACAGTGCACTATACCACCAACGGCCAAGTGCCAGAGTGTTATGACAGGTACGGTATTCCTAAGGTATGGCAGTCCCAAGGTATGGCAATCCCAAGATACGGCAAACAAGGTATGGCAATCCCAAGGTACGGCAAACAAGGTATGGCAATTCCAAGGCTTGGCAATCCCTGGCAATCACGAAAGACAGCAATCGCAAGCTCAGCATGTACCACCACGCTTCCTTCTCACTTCCTCCACTCCACCTCATTCCTCCTTTTTATCCCATTCCCCCAGGGTGCTGCAGTACGTGCAGGCATACGACGCCCCCATGCTGGGCCTGCAGGAGGACTTTGGGACTGTTGTTGTGTTGTGTGTGATATCCTGTGACCTGTAACACCCGTTGCCTCCATCCCCCACTCCCACGGTGTTGCAGTACGTGCAGTGCAGGCATACGACACCCCCATGCTGGGCCTGCAGGATAATCTCAGGACTGTTGCTGTGTGTGAGTTGCTGTGATGTGAAACACCCACTCCGTTCCACTCCCTTCCTTTCCCCCTCTCCGTTCCCCCCTCCTCAGGGTGCTGCAGTACGTGCGGGCAAACGACTCGCCCATGCTCGACCTGCACTGGGACCTCAGGGCAATTGCTGTGTGTGAGTTCATGTGGTGTGAAACACCCCTTCCCTCCCACGTCCCTCCCCCTCAGGGTGCTGCAGTACGTGCAGGCATACGACACCCCCATGCTGGGCCTACAGGAGGATCTCAGGACTGTGTGCGCGCGTATCACTCTTCCCTCCCACCTCCTCACCACCTTTTCCACCCCACCCTCCCTCCCCCCCAGGGTGCTGCAGTACGTGCAGGCATACGACACCCCCATGCTGGGCCTACAGGAGGATCTCAGGACTGTTGCTCCCCGAATCTCCAAGGTCAGTTAATTTCACTCATCCACCGTTTTGGTCCATGCACAGTCGCTAAGACTGTGTGCTCAAGTTTGAGTGCCCATGCTAAGAGCAGTCTTGACAGCTAATCTGCTCTCGCTCCCCGTCTTATCCTCATTCCTTGTCCTGTCTCTGATGCTCCGTTTGAGGCGTCTCACATGCCTCCCAGTCACCCCATCCCCGTCTGCCCGCCTCGCTCACTGTCTTATGCTCATTCCTTGTCCTGTCCATACCCTATTTCTCTGTTTGAGGCGTCTCCCACCCATGCTTCTCAAACTCCCCATCCCCTCCTGGACCCTCTCCCCACTTCCCCAGGCTGTGGACGCCGTTGCTCCTATTATTCTCGCATGGGAAGACACTCAAAAGCTTCGTGCAGACGTGTTTGTGAAGCCCTTTGCGTCTTGGCCTGATGTGGCATCTGCTCCCCCGCCCTGGGACCTCATGGTGGGTCACATCACATCACATCACATCACATCACATCACATCACATCACATCACATCAACATGTGTTTTAGGCGTCGTGAATTCCACATCGTGTTCTTGAAGCCCTCTGCTGTGCTGCGCGTGCGTTCTTGAGAGTGAAATGCACCCACCCACGCCAACACCCACCCCTCCCAGAGCGAATGGGTGACCGGCGGCGACCCTCGCCCTCCTCACCTGCCCTGCGCAGATTGTGTTGTGAAAGGCTTACTTTTCCTCATTGTCCCACCCACCACCCCACCACCTGCGGCCTGCCACCCGCGCCCCTTACCCTTTCCCCCTCAGAGCGAGGAGCTGGTGAGCATGGAGGCGTAAACTGAGTGGGCGCTCTCCGCCCTGCTCACCTGTCCTGTGGTCATGGTGACATTCTCCGTACCCACCCACCCCCACCGCCCCACCACCCGCTCCCTTTTCCTCCTCACCCCCTTCAGAGCGAGGAGCTGGTGAGCGTGGAGGCATACAGTGAGTGGGCGCTCTTCGCCCTGCTCACATGCCCTGTGGAAGTTGTCAAGTACTTTATATCCACCCCCACTACCCCTGCAACCCCACCCCACCTGCCCTTCTCAGAGTGAGGAGCTGGTGAGCGTGGAGGAATACAGTGAGTGGGCGCTCTTCGCCCTGCTCACGTGCCCTGTGGAGATTGTGAAAGGCACGCGTGATGCTGCTGCCCTTATCCAGGTGAGATGCGATGAGAGGGAATGAGACGAGAGGCATACTAGTTCCATGTGAGTCGACTCACATGCTCTCCCCGCATGCTGGCTGGCTGTGAAAGGCACGTGTGACGCTGCTGCTCTTAATCAAGGTGGGATGAGACGAGATGAGATGAGATGTGATGAGATGAGATGAGACGAGATGAGATGAGATGAGATGAGATGAGATGAGATGAGATGAGATGAGATGAGATAAGATGAGACGAGATGAGATGAGATGAGATGAGACGAGATGAGATGAGATGGGATGAGACGAGATGAGATGAGATAAGATGAGACGAGATGAGATGAGATGAGACGAGATGAGATGAGATGAGATGAGACGAGATGAGATGAGATGAGATGCGATGAGATGAGATGCATGCATCTTTATCCCGTTTTGTATCGTCTCATCTCATAGCACCATAAGGTAACCGGTACTACCGTATCTTCTCTACTTGTATTGTTTTTCTTCCCTGTCCTTCACTCCCTCCAGACGCTTCTCCACACGAGGGCTATCATGCCTCTCTTCAGGGACGAGGTGCTGTGTGTGCATGCAGAGGCGCAGCAGTGGACGGTGTCCCGCATGGGGGAGGGGAAGATGGCAGCACAATCACCTTTCCCTTTGTATCATCTTTCTCTTCCGTCTCCTTCACTCCCTACAGTCTCTCCTTCACTCGCGCGCCATACTCCCTCTGTTCAGGGACGAGGTGCTGTGTGTGCATGCAGAGGTGCAGCAGTGGGCCGTGGGGCCCACGGGGGAGAACTCAAACGGCAATCACCTTTCCCTTCGGATTATCCATCTCTCCCCACACTCTCCGTCCCTAACAGACTCTCCTCCACTTGCGGGCCATCGTGCCTCTCTTCAGGGACGAGGTGCTGTGTGTGCATGCAGAGGTGCAGCAGTGGGCTGTGGGGCGCATGGGGGAGGGGAAGAAGGCAGAGCAATCACCTTTCCCCTTTGTAACCCCTTCTTTCTTCTCTTCCCTCCCTCTTCCTCCCTCCCTTACAGACTCTTCTCCACACGAGGGCCATCGTGCCTCTCTTCAGGGATGAGGTGCTGTGCGTGCATGCAGAGGTGCAGCAGTGAGCGGTGGGGCGCATGGGGGGAGAGTGCAGCACAATCACCCTTCTTTTGTTTCTTTTACCCTTCGCATCCTTCCCTATCCCTCCCTCCCTTACAGACTCTCCTCCACACGAGGGCCATTGTGCCTCTCTTCAGGGACGAGGTGCTGTGTGTGCATGCAGAGGTGCAGCAGTGGGCGGTGGGGCGCATGGGGGAGGGGAAGAAGGCGGCCAAGGCAGCAGCGAGGCACAGAGCACAGGGAGCAGAGGAGGAGTATCAGCGACTGAGGGAGTGCTGTAGACTGCTGGGGTGAGTGCTGTAGACTGATAGGGTGAGTGCTGCAGACTGATAGGGTGAGTGCTGCAGACTGATAGGGTGAGTGCTGCAGACTGATAGGGTGAGTGCTGCAGACTGATAGGGTGAGTGCTGCAGACTGATAGGGTGAGTTCTGCAGACTGATAGGGTGAGTGCTGTAAAACTCTGCTGCTAGGTGGCGTTTGAACCAGCAGCGAGGCACAGAGCGCAGGGAGCAGAGGAGTATCAGCGACTGAGGGAGTGCTGCCGACTAATAGGGTGAGTGCTGCCGATTGGTGGGGTGAGTGCTGTTTAGGGGATGCCTTTGCTGATAGGGTGGCCTTTGAATTGAACCAGCAGCGAGGCACAGAGCACAGGGAGCAGAGGAGGAGTACCAGCGACTGAGGGAGTGCTGCCGCCTGATAGGGTGAGTGCTGCCGATTGGTGGGGTGAGTTGTGCTTACTTGTGGTGAGTACGGATTACTGGTTGGTGGGGTGAGTTGTGCTTACTTGTGGTGAGTACCGATTACTGGTTGGTTCTGCATGAGATGGAACTGCAAGCAATGTGTGCGTGTGCACTGCATCCCTTCCTTCTCCTTCTCGCCCCCCTTGTTAACTCTGACTTAGCGCCGCTGTGTGATGACCCAGCCCTATGCATCTTCTCTCTCCCTCTCTCACCCGCCCCGCTTGACTACACTACCAGGGACCTAGTAAATGGAAGTGGCATGCACGCTTGTCTGCAGCGAATGGCAGACGCGCACAGGAGGAGGCGCTTTCTGCTGGTCTTGGGACATATTCTCAGTTTGCTGCTCACTGAGAATATGTCCCAAGACCAGTGGCATGCACGCTTGTCTGCAGCGAATGGCAGACGCGCACAGGAGGAGGCGCTTTCTGCTGGGCCACGAGGGCAGGCGCCTGCTGCTGCTGAGCATGTGCGTGTGCCTTAAGTCTCCTCTGCCTCCCCCCCATACAAACAGTGACCTGGTTGGCACTGCCGGCATGCACGCGTGTCTGCAGCGAATGGCAGACGCCCACAGGAGGAGGCGCTTTCTGCTGGGCCACGAGGGCAGGCGCCTGCTGCTGCTGAGCATGTGCGTGTGCCTTAAGTCTCCTCTGTCTCCCCCCCATACAAACAGTGACCTGGTTGGCACTGCCGGCATGCACGCGTGTCTGCAGCGAATGGCAGACGCCCACAGGAGGAGGCGCTTCCTGCTGGGCCACGAGGGCAGGCGCCTGCTGCTGAGGCTGGCGGACGAGCCCTCGCTGCTGCCGCCCATGCTGCAGCTGGTTCTATCCGTGCTGGCTTTACTGCGAGCTGAGGTGCACTGGGCTATCCTGCACACCTCCTGCCTCGCCCAGTCCGCCCCCGTCACGGTAATTCCTAGGGTTTCCTTCTCTCCTTCTCGTTGCTGCTGCTGATGTTGCTGTTGCTGAGGCTGGCGGACGACCCCTCTCTGCTGCCGCCCATGCTGCAGCTGGTGCTGGCGGTGCTCGCCCTGCTGCGAGCTGAGGTGCACTGGGCTATACTGCACACCTCCTGCCTCGCCCAGTCCGCCCCTGTCACGGCAATCCAGGGTTTCTTTCTCTCTCCCTTTGCTGCTCCCTTTGCTGCTCCCTTTGAGGCTCTATCTTAGATAAATAACCTCTATCTGTGCTGCTGAGGCTGGCGGACAAGCCCTCTCTGCTAGGCGTGCTGGCTGGCTCTGACCCACATGCTTCGTCTCACACCCAACCATTCTATGCGTGTCTCCCTGCCTGCAGGGCCCAGAGGCGGACTCAGTGGCAGTGCTGATCGACTCCATGTTCCGCCTCGTTGAGTTTCCAGCCTGAATTCCTGGTGTATCCCCCCTCTCCCTGCCCCATTCCCTCTCTCTCTGCAGGGACCAGAGGCGGACTCAGAGGCAGTGCTGGTCGACACCATGTTCCGCCTCGTGCCTCTCATTCACACCCACATGCATCCCCTCGCGCCCTGCCATGCCCTGCCTCCCTGCCGCTGCATTCCTCACTGCAGGGCCCAGAGGCGGACTCAGTGGCAGTGCTGGTCGACACCATGTTCCGCCTCGTCTCCCTCATTCAGACCCACATGCTTGGTACGTTCTGTTCTGCCGCTGCTGGGATTTCTGTCAAATAGTCGCTACTCTGCTGATTGTTTGGATAATCGAAAATCCCTTGCGTGTGAAATTTCGGAGTCCATAAAATAACCCGTTCTCCCTCCTTTCCCCAACCTTCGGTTCTCCCCGTTCTCCAGCCATCCAGGCGCGTGCATCCTGGCAGGTGCAGTGGGGGTCGAGGCGTGTCAAAGAGCCAACACAGCCCTTGACTGATCTTCGGAGTCAGGATGTTTCTCTCTGCTTCCGTATTCCCCTGTTTCCAGCCATCCAGGCGCATGTATCGTGGCAGGTGCAGTGGGGAGCGAGGCGGGTGAGAGATTTGATCGCACTGCCAGCTGTGCGCCAGCTGGCGATGAGCGCCCAGCTGGAGGCCTTCTTCTGTGACATGTCAGCGTCCATTCTGGCAGCCGCCCGGTTCCTCTGCGATGCTGACGTGGCATGTGCTGGCGGCGGTGGCAGTGACGGAGGGAGCAGCATGGACTACGAAGAACGGTTGCAGATGGTACGTTGCTCACATCCTTCTTTCACGCTAACATGGCATCTGGTGGTGGTGGTCGTGATGGTGGTGCTGGTGAATGTATTGGTGATAGTACCATTTGTATCCATGGAGGGAGCAGCATGGGCTACGAAGACCGGTTGCAGATGGTAAGAAATCAAGGAATGGTAAGGAGGTGACTTTTGAGTCGACTCAGAAGCCACCTTGACTATGAAGAACAGTTGGCATGTCACATCACATCAAGAGGATGGAGTGGCTGCCGCTGCTCCTGCAGCTGATACCTACCCTGCGTTTAACCACGTGAAAGGAGAGTGTTTTTGAGACGTCTCAAAAGCACTCTTCTTTCACGTGGAGAGGCTGCAGCTGCTCCTGCAGCTGATACTTACCCTGCGTTTGCCCCCTGTTTGTGCGTTTGTGCCGTGCCTCGCCTTCCCTTGCTACCTTCTCGCAGCATGCCCTGGCCTCAGACCAGCTGGCATGGCACAGCATGAGGAGCGAGTGGGTGCAGCTGCTCCTGCAGTTGATTACTTACCCTGCCTTTGCACCCCGTGTGTTCGTTTGCCCCCCTTTTGTTGCTCCCTTTCCCTCCCAGCATGCCCTGGCCTCGGACCGGTTGGCATGGCACATCATGAGGAGTGAGTGAGTGCAGCTGCAGCTGCTTACTTAACCTGCGTTTGTCCCCTGTCTCTGGCTCACCTTTTCTTGCTCCTTCCCCCCAGCACGCTCTGGCCTCGGACCAGCTGGCATGGCACAGCATGAGGAGCGAGTGGATGCAGCTGCAGCTGCTGCTCTCGTCACCCTTCACTACTGTGTCAGCGAGAGTGCTGCATCTGGTGTCGGGGGGGGATGATGGGCCCACCAGTATCGTCACGGAAACCAACCGCCTATATATGTGGAGCAGGTATGTCGCTGTGTATGTCAAGGTGTGCTGCTCTCCGCGCCCTTCATCTTGCTGCTAGGCTCAGGTACGTTATGATCTCATGTCAAATCAGCCGCTCTTTGAGTCAACATGTACACACACCGCTCCCCACCTCTCTCCACCGCTCTCCATCTCATCTCCCTCCCACCCACCACTATCAGGTGCATTGATCAGCTGCCAGAGGCGGTGGATGAGCAGGCCTCGTTGCACCTCATGTGCTACTATCGGCCGCAGATGACTCAGGTGCTCACTCACACCGAGCTATCCTTTTTAATTTACTCTGGTGATTTGCTCTGAGAGCTTTAAGTGTTGAAACTGGTTGTTTTGTCTGTTTTAATTTCTTTCTTTTCATGTGTACGTCCCCTGACCATGCGTTTCTTTTTGGCCCCGTTGCCTGCCTCTCAGGTGTTTCGCCAGGTGCTTTTCTCCCCTCACGGCACGCCATCACACGCCGTAGGATGGCTCATGGTGGCACAAGCTTTCCTGCACAACCTGCCACACTCCCTGCCAGATGAGGTGATACGAAAACCCTTCTAGGAAAAGAAAAAATAAAAATACATGTGCCAAAACCAAAGGCTGGCTCATGTGGCGCAAGCTTTTCGGCACTACCTCCTGCACTCCCTGCCAGGCGAGGTAATGCAGAAACCCCTCGCTTTACAAGAAAGGTCCGTCTCGAAGCATGCCAAAGCCGAAGGCTGGCTCTTGGTGGCTCAAGCCTTCCTGCACAACCACCGCCCGTCATGCACTTTTCACTGCCAACCAACTCCTTCTCCTTGTCTCACTTTTCACAACTCCTTAGCTTTCCGTCGTCCCCCCCCGCCTCTCCCCATTCTTTCCCCCCAGCGGCCCACTCTGCTCCCAATAGCAGTGCAGTTTGCCGACTCGCTACTACATGCCATCATGGGGGGAGTGGACTCGCTTCTCTCTGCCAACACCTTTTCTCTCTCCTCGTCCACTCCTCCCTTTCCCCTATATTTTGTGCCTCCTCAGCGCCCCACACTCCTGCCAACAGCAGTGCAGTTTGCCGACTCGCTACTACACGCCATCATGGGAGGAGTGGACTCGCTTCTCTCTCTCTGCTAACCGCTCCTTGTCTCTCCCCACTTCCCCTCCAACCTATCCCCGTAATCACTCCAGCGCCCAACCCTCCTGCCAACAGCAGTGCAGTTCGCCGACTCGCTACTACACGCCATCATGGGAGGAGTGGACTCGCTTCTCTCTGCGCTACAGTCAGACCAGGGGCTCACTGGGCTGCACATGAAGGTGAGCGTGTGGGAATGGTTACACCCATACATGCTGCGCCCGTGCACACTGCAACCATGCACTGCTCCATGCTACCATGGGGGGAGTGGACTCGCTTCTCTCGGCACTACAGTCGGACCAGGGGCTGACTGGGCTGCACATGAAGGTGAGCCTATAAGCCTGGTTGCGCCCATGCATGCTGCACCCATACACACTGCAACCATGCACTGCTCCATGCTATCATGGGGGGGGGTTGACTCGCTTCCTCCACGTGTGCCCACATGTCATCCACATGTTTCTCACGTGTGTCCCCTCTGTGTGCGCTCCATGTGTACTTCTGTCTCACATGTACTTATGAGTGTTTTGAGACGTCTCAAAAAACTCCCCTCTGTGTGTGCTCCATGTGTACTTCTGTCTCACATGTACTTATGCCTCACATGTACTTATGCCTCCATGTTTCCCCCATGTATGCCCTCACCTTGCAGACGCTACCAGCAGCAGCAGCAGTCCTACTAGCAACCACCACTCAAGCCACATCCGCTCACCACCAGTCACTCACTCACCCCTCAGCAGTCAAGCACCAGTTGCTGCAGCTGCTTCCAGGGAGTGAGAGCCAGCCGCACAACCGAGCACACGTTGCCGGGTAAGCTCCTCCTGTGCTTGCAAACACTCCTCCTGTGCTTGCAAACACTCCTCCTGTGCTTCCAGTTGCTGCAGCTGCTTCCAGGGAGTGAGAGCCAGCCGCACAACTGAGCCCACATTGCGAGGTAAGTTCCTCCTGTGCTTGCAAACACTCCTCCTGTGCCTCCAGTTGCTGCAGCTGCTTCCAGGGAGCGAAAGCCAGCCGCACAACAGAGCCCACATTGCGAGGTAAGCTCCTCCTGTGCTTGCAAACACTCCTCCTGTGCTTGCAAACACTCCTCCTGTGCCTCCAGTTGCTGCAGCTGCTTCCAGGGAGTGAGAGCCAGCCGCACAACAGAGCACACGTTGCGAGGTAAGTTCCTCCTGTGCTTGCATACACTGATGGCGTGAACTGGCGTACATCATTTGGATTTATTCCCATCTCTCTCCGCTCCACCAACTCCACACCCTCTCCGATTTTACCTCATCATCCCCCCATCCCTCCCTCCCTCCCTCCCTCCCTCCCTCCCTCCCTCCCTCCCTCCCTCCCTCCCTCCCTCCCTCCCACCAGCATAAGCGCATCACTGCACAAGCTTGTGGGGATCGTGTCAGCCATTGACAACTTTTTAGTCATCTAAAACTCCCTTCCTCCTCCCTACCGTCCTCTTTCCCACCCACCCATCCTCCCACCCAACCCCCCACCAGCATAAGCGCATCACTGCACAAGCTAGTGGGGATCGTGTCAGCCATTGACGGCCTGCCACCTGTCAGAGTCGCCGACCATGCCTTCGTGCCCCGAGAGGTAACTTCTAAGCAATATCATCCTCGTGAGTAGATTGCACTCCGCCATTCTCCCCAACAGTTATCTGCAGTGACCCTTTGCCTCGGAGTCCCACATACACTCATCTATCCCGACCATTGCCTGATACGTCTGCCCCTATCCCCTTTCCCCAAAATCTAACCCCTACCCTAACCCCTTCACCCCTGTCCCTTCTTCCCCGCCCTCCACCCCAACAGTACCTGCGGGAGCGCCTCACCCGCCACTTGCACCACCGCTTGCGCTCCGCCATTCTCCCCAACGGCCACCTGCAGCGCCCCTCCGCCTTCGAGTCCCAACTATCCCTCTTTCCCCCAATGTCCCCTCTCCACCACCCTTGGTTCCCTATACCCTCTCCCCTCTCTTATTCCCCCTCCACCCCAACAGTACCTGCGGGAGCGCCTCACCCGCCACTTGCACCACCGCCTGCGCTCCGCCATTCTCCCCAACGGCCACCTGCAGCGCCCCTCCGCCTTCGAGTCCTCCCTCACGAGCTTCCTCCTCCTCCTCCTCCTCCTGCAGCAGCACTGCTCCCTCGACCTCTCTCGCACCATCCGGGAGGTTCTTCTGGGGGAGGCGTTTCCTAGGAGGGGCGGGGAGAGGGCGGAGATGGGGGAAGGGGAAAGGGCAGGGAGGGGAGAGGAGGGGCATGGGGAGGAGGTATATGAGGAGCAGGTTTTGGGGGGGTGCAGGGACTTGCACCCGCTGTATCGGCCTGAGTGGGAGCGGGAGAAGATTGGGGGGATGGGAAGGGGAGGTGGTGGAAGGGGGAAGACGGGAGAGGGAGGAGTGGGAGTGGGGGCGGGAGGAGCGTGGGATGGGGAAAGGGGGAAAAGGGGTGGGATGGAGAGAGGAGGGGAGGAGAGTGGATGGGTGGAGAGAATAGGGGAAGAGAGAGGATGGGAGGGGAGAGGAGGGATGCATGGCAAGGCAGTGTCGAGCTCACTAGATGCTCGGCTGAGGAAGAGTGGCGGATGGAAGGGGAGATGGTCTGTGGGATCCAAACAAGGCAAGGGCATGACTTTAGGCATGGAATCAGGCATGGGAATGGGTGTGGAGGAGAACATATTGGAGGAGGGTTTGGAGGTGAGGGAAAGTGGGGGCGGAGGGGTACGAGGGGTTGAAGGGGGATTAGGGGGTGAAGGACAGGGGGAGGCTTCCAGGCAAGTGGAAGGAGGTGACGGGGGGTTTGGGTGGAGTGAAGATGGGGTTGTTGGTGGTAATGGTGAGAGCTTTGATGGGCCGAGTGCGGCTGTGATTATAGCCCGGTGGTACGTTGACAATGTGGTGTGTGACTGTAACGATGCCGGGGTGCTGTTCTCTCCGTTTGACGCCACCTTTAGAAGCACAGCATGGGGGGGAAGTCTGCCATCTTCATCAGCAGCAGCAGACGCAGCAGCAGGAGGAGGAGAAGGAGGAGGAGGAAGAACGGCAGGAAGATCAGGAGGAGAAGGAGCAGGCACCAGCAGCAGCAGTCCAGTCAAAGTTGGAGCAGCAGGTCTCCCGCCTGGCCATCTCACTCCTCCTGTCGCCTCCTCTCCTGCACTCGTCCCAGGAGCAGCAGCTGCAGCAGGCGCGTTCACCCCTCTCCTGCCCTTCCCCAGCCCCAATCCCACCCTCGCTACTCCTCCCACTTCCTCCTCCATCTCCTCCTCCTCTCCCTCCTCCTCTGCCTCCACCTTTCCATCCTCCTCTGCTGCATCCCCGTTCACTACGGCGTCCCCTCAGACTGCTGTCTCTGTGTCTTCGATCCTTGCCTCCTCCCCCATCTCCCCAATCCTCACCTCGCCCAATTCACTGCCCCCTGGTGCAGCATCTGCTGCTGGATTAGTAGCAGCGGGGGCAATAGGAACAGACGCAGCAGGAGGAGCAGGAGGAGCAGGAGGGGGACGGGGAGCAGCAGGAGCAGGGGGGGAAGCAGGGGTTGGGGCTCGGCCGGTGATTGCTGAGCTGGTGGCGGATGGTGCTGAGCTGGCGGCGTTTGTGAGGCTGTTTGGATTCTACGGGGCGGATGAGCTGGCAGGGCGGGTGGTGCGGCCTGTGCTGCTGCGCCTGCTGAGCCGTCTGGAAGCCATTCTGAGGGCGAACCGAGACTCCCTTATGATGCTTGCTTCTAAAATGCACCTCTCTCCTCCCTTGCAGGTACCATCAGCTTCTGCTGCCGCTGCTGCTGCTGCTAGTGCTGCCGGTGCTGCTGATTCTTCTGCTGATCCTGCTGGCAGCACAACTGGCCCTGGAACAACGGATACAAGCACACCTGTTACAGGCACAGATGGAGCAAGCAAAACCGCTACAGGCCCATCTGCTGCAAGCAAACCCGGCACAAGCACAGGCACAGGCAGCGCCACCCGCACGCAGCAGCCGGAGGAGCAGCAGCGGGCAGCAGCAGCAGCAGCGATAGCAGCCCCAGCAGAGGAAGCGCTCTCCCTCTGCATCCAAATCGGGCACTGCCTCTCCTTCCTCCACGTCCTCTCCTCCGCCTGCTCCTCCACCCTCCACAACCATATCCCTCTTGTCCTCTCAGTACTGAGAGATACCGCCTCCCACCTGCCTCCCTCTTGTCCCGAGAGTGTGGCTGTGGGACAGTTGAGGCGGGTTGCTGCGAGGTGCGGGGTGGGAGGAGGGGCAGCGGGAGCAGCGGCGGTTGCGGCGGGTGGGGCGGTGGTTGCGAGTGGGATGGGGGGAGCGGGGGGGATGGCGGGGGTCGGGGGAGGGGGAGGGGAGGAGGAGGTGGGCGGAGGGGGAGGAGGGGCGGATGGGACGTTTGTAGAGGTCCTAGAATTGCTCATGGAGATAGGAGGAGTGGGGGACGGAGCATGGGCCATGCTGCCCTTTCTGTTTGCTATCATGCTGGGAGGGGAGTCATGGGAAACCTGTGTATACTTCCCGGAAATACAGGGCTTTTCGGATAATGCCAACTGTTTGATTCGGGCTATACACGTGCTTCTGGTGGGGTGCGAGCGGGCGGGGGCAGAGAGAAGAGAGTTGAAACGGGAGCTGCTAGCGCAGCAGCGGATCATGAGAGGATCCAATCGCAACTCGGAGGATTACGCTGATGACGACGAGCCGACCGACCTGGTCCGGATGGCGGGCGGCGTGGCCGGCATGATGCGGACGTTTGTGCAGCACGCAGCGAGTTTCGTCCTGAATTCCTGGGATAAGGGCCCGCGGGGTGCGTGGGCTTCAAGAGTGATCTTCTTGGATCAGCTCTGTCTCTTCTCCCCCCATCTGCCTCGATCGGTGTTGGAGAAATACCTTCCCTACACACTCATCCGTGCGGCTTACGACGCGTACCACAATCACCCTCCTCTCCCTCTTCCGCTCCCGCTCCCTCTCGCTCCTCCTCCTCCTCCTCCTCCTCAGCCGTCCTCTTCTCCTTTCGCAGCCACAGTTCCTGCTGCTTCTCCCACGGGAGCAGGAGATGGGAAGACTCTACTCTCCTCCGTCCCGGCCTCCTCTCCCCTCTTCCCTCCCCACACTCGTCCCTCCGGCCCCTTTGCTGCAAGAAAGGTTCGAGACATCATCCAACCCCCATCCCCACCTTCCCCCCCATCCCCCCCTCTCCTCTCTCCTCCCCCTGGTCCTCCCCAACAGTCCACCTTCCCCTCACTCTCCCCGGATCTCACCTTACCTGCCGCTTTCTCGAACCAAGCGCAGCTGTCAGCTACAGGACAGGAATTGCCGCCCAGCACGGATCCCCAACAGTCACATCTGTCACAGTCACAGCAGCTGCGGTCACAGCTGCAGCTGCGGCTGAGAGCAGCAGAGGGCGGGAGCGGGAATATAGAGCAGTTAGAGCAGCAGTTAGAGCAATTAGAGCAGCAGAGGCCAGCATATGCATCGTCCACGCTGCTGGAAATGGCACAGAGCTTCGAAACGCCCCAGCAAAACGCGCCTGCCACAGTGGCAGAAAGGAGTGGGGGGTATGGGGGCCATGGGGGGAGGGGAGGCCGAACCCCCACTGCCGCTGCAGCAGCTGCTGCAGCCGCTGCTGCTTCTGCCGTTTCCTTTGGCTATGGTGCTGGTGGTCCTGGTGTTGAGGGCGAATACTCAGGTGAATTTTCAGGTGAGGTGTCAGGTGAGGGTGGGTCTCCAAGCCACGCACCTGCCATGCGTTGCCTGCCCTCCACGCCTCAGTCCCTGGCAAGAAAGCATGGCTTCTCCCACCACTCCCAGCAGCAGCAGCAGCAGCAGCACAGCAAGGCGCACTCTCCCTCTGTCTCGTCTCAGGGCTATCGGTCTGGTCAGCTGTTTAGTCACGCAGTGGCAGAACCAGGAGCAGGGGGAGCAGGAGGAGCAGCAAGACCAGCACCGGCATCGCCAGCAGTGGTGGCGGCAGCAGCTGCCGCTGCAGCATCCGTTTCCCTCCCTCCTGGCCTCGCTGCTGCTGCTCCGCTCACCCTCCCTGCTGCTTCTGCCCACGACCCCCTACCTCTTGCTTCCTCCGCTTCCTCCTCCTCCTCGACCTCTGAATATCGTGCTCCCCCTTCCTCTGCGTGGATTCACATGAAGGGCAAACCAAAGGCGAAGTCAGGGCAACTGGTGTATGGGCTGGCAGGGAAGATGGGAAGAGCAGGAGGGGGGGGAGTGGGAACAGGAGGAGGCATGGGTAAGGGGATGGGCATGGGGGTGGGGATGGGGATGGGGATGGGAGGAGGTGGTGGTATGCGCGGAGGAGTGGGGGGAGGAGGGGGAGGGGGAGTAGGGGGAGGAGTGGGAGGGGGGAGAAGGAGCACCACGCCCACCAGGAGGCAGGTGCGATCTGGGCCGTTGATTTCGGGAGCATCGCACGAGCAGATGGACGTTGGAGATGCTGCGATGGGTGTGGTCAGGACCACATCTTCTCATCCCCGTGGGACTGCTGCTGCTGCTGATGCCGGTGTTAGTGGTGCTGGTACTGGTGCTACTGGTGGTAGTGGTGCTGGTGACGCTGCTGGTGCTGCTGCTGCTGCTGGTGGTGTTGATGGCACAGGTCAGACAGATGGTGACTGGGAGTACGGTGCAGATGGGTTTGACCAGTTTGGGGACGGTGATGACTTCTCTCCGGCAGACGTCTTTGCTGAAATCGGCCGGGCTGCTGCTGCTGGCAGTGGCAACAGCAGGGGCGAAGGGGCCTGGGAGAGGCACAACCAAGGGCCAGCTGCTACAGGAGGAGCAGGACGAGAAGGTTCAGTCGCGTCTGCTGCTGCTGCTGATGCGGCAGATGCTGCCGCTGCCCGTCGCATGCCGGCCGCACGGATTAAAGCGGCTGTGCTGTCAGCCCTGGGCTTGACTGGCCTGGGGATGGGGAGAAGGTCTGGAGGGAAGGAGGACCTTCGACCCGCTCCTCCTGCCTTCTCCTCTGTTTCTGGCGCTCCTGGCGCTGATGGTGATGCTGCTTTTGTGTATACAAGTGCTAGTGCTGGTGCTGCTGGTGTTGCTGGCGGCGGTGGTGCTGGTGTTGGCGTGCGTAATAGCACGGGTGGGGGAGGATGGAGGGGGTTCAGTGGGAACCTTAAACCCTTTTCTCCCAGGAGGAGCAACGTGGGGGGCCATGATTTGACTGGACAGGGTGGGGGCGTGGGAGGTGAGAGATGGGGGGAAACGGGTGGAGAGTCAGGGGTTGGAACAGGGGCAGGGACAGGAGGGAAGGGATTTGATTGGACGAGTCTGAATGACTTGCAGCAGCAGCTTTGGCAGCAGCTGCAGCAGCACCTGGACGGCCGCCGAGCCTCGCTCGGAGGTAAGGGAACAGCCTCGGCAAGTGGAGTTTTGTCAGATGCAGGCACGGTTGGTGCTGCTGCTGCTGCTGGCTTTGGTGCTAGTGGTGGCGGTGGTGGTGGTGGTGCTGCTGCTGGTGCCGGTGCTGCTGGTGCTGGTGGTGGGAGTGCCGATGCACAGGCCCCAGAAATGAGTTCCCGAGGGCAGGCAAGCCCAGCAGTTGCAGCAGCGGCAGCAGCTGCTGCAGCAGGCCTCGTACCCCCATCCCTCCAAGCAGCAGCAAGACAAGAAGGCGACGGCATGGCAGCACTGCAACGCGCCAGCAGCAGCAACAGCCGCATGGGAGCAACCACTGCTACAACCATTTCCACCCATGGTGCCACCCAAGGAAACCATCTCCACTCCTTGGAACCGCGCAAGTACGGTGTCTCGGCCTCGGCCCCTCTGGATCCCAGGCTCGTTGCTGCGGGTGCTGCCCCTGCCTTCCCCGCTCTTCCCCCAGGCTTCCCTTACCTCCCTTCATCGTCTTCCTCTTCTGCTACTGCTGCTCGTTCCTCCTCCCCTGCTCCTGCCGCCGCTCCTGCTCCTGGTGCTGCATCGTCCCCCCGTCCCTCTGCTCCTGCTGCTGCTATATCTGCACCTCCCCGTCCCTCTGCTCCTGCTGCTGCTGCTATATCTGCACCTCCGCGTGCCTCCGCTCCTGCTGCTGCTACAGCTGCCTCTCCCCGGGCCTCGGGTTTCCCGAGGCGGATAGACGTGGTGGGAGTGGAGAGGCTTGGGTTGCATGAGCTGGACGCCAAGGTGCTGGGGCTGAAGAGTCTCAACATCCCAAAGGGGAAGGACCGGACGGAAGACGAGGTGTTTGATGAGGAAGTTCCCGTTGCAAAGGGGGGTGGGAGGTGAATTCACCTCGGTGCTGGCCTTACTAGATAGTGAGAACTGGTGGTGGGCGTGGAGAGGCTGGGGTTGCATGAGCTGGACGCCAAGGTGCTGGGGCTGAAGATCCTGAATATCCCCAAGGGGAAGGACCGCACAAAGGACGAGGTGTTTGATGAGGAAGTTCCCCTTGTAAAAGGGGTGGGGAAGTGATGTAACACTGGTTGGTTGCCACTGGCAGGGAGAAGTGGAAGTGGTGGAGGGATTGGGGTCGCCTGGGGTTGGATTTGTTCCTCTCAGGACATATGCACTCTTTCCTGACTCGTTTGCTAGTTTGTGGAAGCCAGCTGCGGTTGTATTCCCGATGGGCTGCATCGTTTGTTGCTGACTTGTTCAGCTGTAGAGTGCTGCAGTTCAACCTACAATGAAGTTGAGCTGTTTCTTTCAGCACTTCACAACGTGTATGGTGGCTTCAGCTTTTGTGGTGGCCCATTGGGTTTATAAGATATCTAAATGTTAATATTCGAGGTACCGGTAGGTAGGTAGGTATAGGCCATTCGGTTAATATGCTCTGAGGTCATTGTTTAGAATATTCAACTACCGTATGGGGTAGTAGCAGGCAGGCAGAGGCACATGGCACGGAAAAGACAGGTGGACTGAGACAAGTTAAGGGATAGTGAAGTACATTCTATGGTGTTGCCTGTATGCACGGCTCTATTCAGCCGGCCAAATGGAGTTTCAATCAAGGATACACAAGTTCAGAACATAGCCACCCGTGGCACACACAACCGGTATCACTGTACAGGTTTAAAAGCCATAGCAGACTAGAGGGCAAATATGTCTTTACCCAGATTGCTCAACACAGAGACTGTACTTCTTTTATAGATGCGATTTATTTCGATGTAACAGTGCTTTGTAGAGAAACGTGCAGTGAGCGTGTTTCTGCGGGGAGTGGGGAGCAGCTGGCGTCAGCGAACCGGCGGAGGAATGTCGCTTTGCAGACGGGAAGGTATCGGGCTCGTCACGCCGATTCCCCCCTTTCGAAGATCAGCAAGGGAGGTGTTCCTCGAGATGACACCTCTGAGCGAAAATGGTCGCTCAAGCGAGATCTGTAACAGCCTCAAGCAACAATCAACCTCGGTGACTCGTTTGGCTGGTAACTGTTCGTGCACATGCCGCCTGTCGTCAACACGTGTGTCTAAACGAGCCTTGACACGAAATGAAGTATCGCACGATGGTTTCGGCCTGGTAACGACGAAAGAAGAAATTTCAGTCGGCTCCGCACATTCGCCAGCTTTTCAACACATATTCAGCTGAACTTCTAGAGAGGTGTTTAGGTTGACCAACTCGAGTATCAGCTGAACTCCTAGGTCTCACTACCAGCGGTTTCCAAAGTTCTGCTGTGGGCCTAAATGGGGTTGCTGTACGTCACGACACATAGGTTCAGCCGTCCGCGAGGAGGAGTCCACCCACGTACGTTGGTCGTACCTACGGACAACCGCCTGAGATCCAAATTCAAATTCAGGGAACGACTCCACTCAAAAGAACAAGCTCCTCCTTGGCCGATGGTATCTCCACACCCGTTATTCTCCCGTATCTACCCTCAAGCCGTTCAAGATCTCTCCCGAATCTACTTCTGCATTAGATAAATAGTAATTGTTAGTTACACATGGAGAAGCGTGTCTAGCAGTTGATTTTTTGAAGATACTGTAAAGTAAGTCCTTTTCCCGCATCCCGCCATAGTCACACTAGATTCTCATTTCAGCATCGCATGCTTCACTGTAAAACAAGTGCCTCTCCCGCATCTTATCTCTCAGTTTTCCCTGTTGCCGTTTCCTTTTACGTTTCCCGCATCTCCTTTCTCCGTTACCGTTTCCGTTTCCGTTTCCTGCAGGAATCAAGGCAGGATGTCCAACGAAGGCGATGCCGTATGGGCCAACCTTCGTGGGCCTGTGGGCGTCTGGCCAGTACAGCTTTTGTCAAACCTTACGGAAGAGCAACAGGAGGGCGAGGGGCCCCCTGTGCTTGTCAAACTTCTTGGTGTCAAGGTATGACTATTGTTTCTAGCAAGTTCCGTTACAAGATTTATAGCCGTGTGTAGCAGGCTAAACCATTGTCTTCTTTTGCACCTTGTCAATTTTTCCTTTTTTCCTTGTGACAGCCTAATACGAACTTATTGATTGCCTCGCATTCTTTGCGTGAGTGGACTGCGGCAGAGAGTGGCATGCACATCAAGGAACGAAAGGTAAGTATTCTCTTTGCAAAATGATGTTTTGTTGTTAAACGATTTGCAAGGCTGCTCAGGTGTTGGTCCGCGCAAGTGCTGGTTTGCTCAAGTTACTGTTATATACTAGATTAGTGTTCGTTACCCGATAGGCTAATATGACTTTTATGTCCCGTTCCTCTTGTCCAGACCAAACCGAACGAGTTTATGGCCGCAGTCAGAGAAGCTCAACTGATTAATAGCAAGCCTGAGTCAGAGAAGGCGGTGGTCCCTGAACCCAGTGGGAGTGGATCAGGGCTATGGATAATACTTGATGCAGATGTTTCTAACGACGAGCAGAAGCGACAACAGCAGCAGCAACAGTTTCAAAAATTGATCCAGCAATTGCAACAGAATTCATTGCAACTGCTGGAGAAACACGAGCCGTCGCTGCAAGAGCAGCAGGAGGGTGGGCAGCAGGAGGATGGTCGGCAGGAGGAGGAGGGTGGGTAGCAGGAGGAGGGTGGGCACTAGGAGGAAGGTGGGCAGCAGGAGGAGATTGTGCGGGAGGATGGTGGCATGAAGAAAAAGGGAGGAAATCAGGTCACAAATGAGCCAGTAAAAAAACAGAAAGAAAAGGAGCTTGGTCTATAGCATCTTGTTGCATGTGCTGGCCTCTCATCCCATGCCCATCATCAGGCTCTTTTAATGCGTGTGCAGCACCATCCTTCCTCGTTGCATGGATTGACATTCTTGTTTGGTTAATGTTGTTTGATATGCATTTCCATGTGTCTATTTATCCATGATGACCGCGAATGAACAGCGGAATTAGGTTTATTTCCAAACAATAATTGACTGAATGCTGGGAATATCCCTGCCATGCCAGGGCTTGGGATGGATCATGGGGCAGTTATCTGAGCCTTTATCCTGGGTTTTCTCCCAATTACAAGCCCCCCAATTCATGCAGATCTTCGTTATTGAACTATGGTACATGGCAAAAGTATGATATTTTCCTCATGATGGGGCAAAAAATATTATTTCAGTAAGCCCCAAGGCTATAACAAAAGAACAGCACCTCCTAAAGAACCTTACCGCCGTACCCTAGGGGCCTTTATGGTGTGGTACAAGTGGATCAAGATATCAGTTTTGGGTCTGGATATGTTTAATTACTACGTTAACAAGTCTGTTACGAAAGAGTGCATTCTCTGGAGTTGCTTAGATGTCCCAACAAGTGCCGCACATTCAGTGATGGTCGAATGAAGAAGAATCCAGAAGATGGCGCGAGGAATCAACAGGAAACAGGAATATATATATAAAACAAACAAAAACAAAACAAACACGCCCTGCACCAACATTTCCCTACTTCCAACCCATTTCCCACCTTCATGCCAAACATTCGACACTATGTTGTAGGTTCCTCTGCTCACACATAGAAAGCGCGTACAGAACACATCCTGGGAGTGGGGATTGGAGGACACAGGATGAGAGGAAATGGGAAGATGAGGAGAGAGGAAGGAGGGAAAACAGAGGGTAAGGAAGGGGGTGAGCACAGGGTAAGCAGGGGAGAAACACATTGTACACAGGATAAGGGAGCACAGGGTAAGCAGGGGAGAAACACATTGTATACAGGATAAGGGAACACAGGGTAAGCAGGGGAGAAACACATTGTACACAGGATAAGGGAGCACAGGGTAAGCAGGAGGAGAAACACATTGTACACAGGATAAGGGAGCACAGGGTAAGCAGGGGAGAAACGCATTGTACACAGGATAAGGGAGCACAGGGTAAGCAGGGGAGAAACACATTGTACACAGGATAAGGGAGCACAGGGTAAGCAGGGGAGAAACACATTGTACACAGGATAAGGGAACACAGGGTAAGCAGGGGAGAAACACATTGTACACAGGATAAGGGAACACAGGGTAAGCATGGGAGAAACACAGGATACACAGGATAAGGGAACACAGGGTAAGCAGGGGAGAAACACAGGACACACAGGGAGGGGAGCACAGGAGGGCAAGCTGAACGGGAATGAGAAGGGGGAGGAAGGGCAATGAGAGGGGGACAGGAGGGCTATGAGACATGGGCTGCTCCCTAACGCCTTATACTTGCTCACTCCCATCTCGTGCCTCCTCACTGCTTACTCCCGTCCCCCTCGCACCTTCTCGCTGAGAGGGCAGGGAGTGAAGAGGGGGACAGAAAGGGAGAGAGAGAGGGCAGGGATGGGAAAGGGGAATAAGGGAGAGAGCGGATAATAAGGCAGATAGGGGAATAAGGGAGAGAGGGAAAATTATCTCAGAGAGCGGGGCAAAAGACATCGGGGTAAGGCAGAGACGGGAGTTAGGCAGAGAAAGGAGCGCCAAGACGGGTGTGAGAAAGAGATAGGAGAAGGAAAACATGGTCAAGAAGGTGTCAGGGCGAGAGGGGAGCAGGGCAGTGAGGGTAGCAAGGGAGGGAGGGGTGCAAGGAAGAGAGGAAAAAGGCGCATTCCTACCCCCCCACTCACACCGTTCTCTAGGCTCACTCCTACCCCCCCTCGTGCCTATCTCTCTGCTCACACCTGTAGGTGCCTCGCACCTTTCTTGCTGCATGCATACACACTCCCATCCGCACCTGTATGTCCCCTCGCGCCTTTCGTCGCGCCGTCGTCGCAACCCCTCCCCCCCGCACGCGCCACCTACCTCGCTGCTCCCACACCATCCGCCATGCGCGCCCCACTGCATTCCTTTTTACGCCTTGCTTGCTGCTCACTCCCCTCCGTGCTTCTCGCTGTTGTCGCACCCCCTTCCCTCCGCGCGCGCCACCTATCTCGCTGCTCACACAACGCCCGTCACTCGTGCCTTGCTTGATCGCGCCTATTTCGCTGCTCACTCCGGTCCGCGTCAATCCCCTCAGGGGTCCGCACAGAGCCGCCCAGACAGAGCCGCGCAGACAAAGGCACAAGTGTAGGGAAACGAAGCAGAGTCATGCCAGCTTGAGAATTACAGGATGGGAGGGAAAAATGTTGCATGTAAAGATCACGTTGGCGTACAAAAGAAGGTGGGAATTGCATTGAATGCACTGGGAAAAGCATCATGCAGGGGCAGGCAATGGTACGCAGGGGGAATGGGATGGAATGGAACAGAGCAGGCGAACCGCCGCCATCTTGTACACGCGTGAAGATCACGAGCGAATGCGAGCTTGCATGCAGGCGGGAAGTGCCTCTGCGTGGCAGATTTTTCTTCTTTTGCCACGGGCATGCTATGGCACTCACTTGAAGCTGAGAAGTCGCTCGCTCGCACCGCCTCCACCCATGCCATCTTGAACACCTCGTTCTCCTCCTCCTCCTCGTCGCTCTCCTGCTCTGCACATTCCTGAAAAGTGATGCTTGAGTTGCCTGCTGCATCCTCAGATAACCTCTAGGCCCTTGAATTCCGCGTTGCGCTGCTGCACCCTCGTTGTCCCCGATTCTCTCCACGCTGCCCAATCACCTCCGATCCCCTTCCGCCCTTCACTGCTCTGGCCCCTTCCCCCTTTCGTTTCGCTCGTGTGAGCCATCGGAACGAGCAGCGGAACGGGGAAGTGAACGTGGAGATTCCTCCCCCCAATCCTTCAGTTTCCACCCGCCCTCTCTTCCCGCACTAGTGTCGCCGTCTGCAAGCCCTTCTTCTCTCTCACAATAGTTATTATCACCTTCGAATGCCTCCCCGTCACTCATCTCCAGTCCGCCTGACGCGGGATGATCAAACCGCACTGCTCGTTTTCGACCTAACTGCACTCCACGCCTGCGCGACGGAAGTGAGTCGCGCGGAATAACGGTTGCGATTCCGAGCTCCAACTTCGAATCATCCTCCGCCGTCGATTTGAATCCCGCCTGCATCTGCCATCGGCGATGCTGCTGCTGCCATTCCCAAGACTCGCGCTCTTTGCCGTGTATTCCCGTGGCTCGAGTCGCGATCGCTGGATCGTGCGACTATACCTATGTCGTCAGATGTCGCTATTCGAGTTCTATCTAAGAAGTAAAAATAATACTGTCTTGGCGATAAGCCTCTCTTGCGAGCCGCGCGTGCACTGCACTTGACATGTGTCGATATCCAGCGGACTACGAGTGTTAGACCGACTCCTGCTTTACTATTAACGAGAAGGAAAAAATCCTGGCATGTTGAGGAAAAAACGTGTTTGTCTATTAACGAGGGTTCGCCTACTAACGAGCGGGAGACCTGGTGCGGACTAACGAGGTTTTGCCAGTTGCACGGGCTTGCTCTGATGCAACGACCTGCAGCAACACCATGGGCTCACGCACCATGACGTGCGCCATGAGTCACGACTTAATAAGGATGCACCTTCATCAATCTCATGAAGTGACTACAACTTGTAGGTGCGTCACGACTAATGACTGGACTCAGCGTCATGAAGGTGACTAGTCAGCTGCGTCACGACTAATGACAGGACTCAGCGTCATGAAGTGACTTGACTAGTAAGCTGCATCACATCAGGAAAGCATTGGCGGTATAGGCGAAAGGTCGCATTTTTCGCAGCAACCATCTTCGCGAACTCCGAATTGCGCGAAAGTGGTGTTGCGAAGTCCCAGCACCTCTCAATTCGGGGGTCTGAAGTTCAAGCAAGAAGCAACAAGCGTCGGCTGTCTATTTGTGCCACGTCAACTTTGACTAGGTTTGAAGTGAGTAGCACACGTCACATCAATCCACATCTACCGCATCGCATATCTTCCAACAATTCACCCCAATCCACCCGCCCGATTCACCCGCCCCTTACGGGACTTGTTGGCGACGCCACTTCGATGACCCACGCACCGCATGTCATCTCTCAACAATTCACCCCAAATCACCCGCCCGATTCACCCGCCCCTTGCGGGACTTGTTGAGGACGGCACTCACCCACATGCAGGAAAATACCCGCTTGCAGATTCCCGAGACGTGAACGCAAGTCACCAAATGCGCCGATATTAAAGTCAGGTCGCTGAAGTTCAGTTGCTGAATTCCATCCATTCCATTATTCATTCCTAATTGTTTTTGTTCTATGTTTTCAGAAGCACTTAACCCCTAAACGTGCAAAGGTGCAATGTTTGGCCCTAATGGAACGAAGATGTTTGTTGGGGTGAATAAGAATGGGTTACATTTTTTTCCACGATGACATGAATCTCTGCATTCACAGTGCGCAACCTGATGAGGTTGTGCAATGTGAGTGCACGTCCGAGGGGGTGGTGGTGTTGACATTAGATATTGCATCCACATTCGAGTTGATTGGAGGTGAGGAAATCTGTCGCGCCATCGCAGCTCTCAAAGATGCTGGTGAGGAAGTGGGAGAAGGTGGGGGCCAAGACGTTTTTACTGGTTCTGGTGATCATGCAGCTGAAGTCCTTCAGTTAAGGACTGAGCTGGATGAAACACGTGAGCGGGAGCGCTCCTTGATTTTGCTGAATCAAGAGAAGGAGAAGCGACTGGAGGAGCTTGCCAACGAATTGATGGTCCGTACTCTATTTGTGCTCTTTTAGCTCCTTTTTTTTGTTTTGTTTTGTTTTGTTTTTGTTATCTGACTCCTTATAAATGTCCATTGCAGATGTTGAAGGGAATCATCAGAGTGTGTGGCCGTGTTTGCCCTCCTCGTGGAAAAGACGTTCCACTTTCTGTACAGATTCTTGAGGATAACACCATGTATATTGAAGGTATATCTCTTGCTATTCTCTTTCCTGTCAGCTTCATATCTTGTCTTGACATTTTGGTTTTCATGGCTAAACAGGGTATATACGCCATTTCAAGCTCAACAAGGTCTTCCCACATACAACAAGCCAAGAATGTTAGGGTTGGTTCGCCCAACCACGGAACCTACGGCGAAATGCGGAATGACGGCGAAATGGAGCGCGTGGGAGATTTTAGATCTAAGACGGTGGAAATCGACCTACGGTGGAGAATAGAAGATACGGCGTGAGAAGCGGGAAGGAAATCGAGAAGGAATGTGCAGGAAGGAGGAATAGAGAAGGAGAAGCATCGAGAATGAGATCGACGGGGGAAATTGTGGTTCGAGCTTGAGGCGCGTTCGAGAAGGTTCGAGATTCGGACTCAAGAAGTGTTCGGTGCATTCGGTTCAGTTCCGTGTGCGACTCGGGGTGAACCGAGGCGCACGCGGTTACTTGGGAAACAAGTGAAGTTACGAATCGCATTTTGTGTCTTGCCTGACTATAAAACTGCTTGTACTCATTCTGGAAAACACAACATTGGACAACTTGGAGATTCTGAAAATTGCTGAAGTGTGTATTGACAACTTCAAGCAGAGCTGCGCATATCATTGGATTCGTGAGATCGTGGAGAACACGATAAGCAATAGCAAGTAGACTATTGCCGACTAAGGTGTTTACGATCCTAAGAGCTGGTATCAGAGCTTGGCGAACAGGCGCGTCGATCGTCGTGAATTCACTTGGTGCGCTAAGTGAAATTAGTGGAGAAGAGGAGTCGTTCACGCCTACGCCATGGGAGACGAGGCGAGTTCGGGTTCCAGTGTGAGTCTTGGAGATCCGCAGTTGAAGGCTCTTCTCGAGGCCCTTGCGAGTGGCCGATTGGTGGCGAAACCGACGATCGGGCTCAGTGAAGCCCAGCGCTTCAACGGGAGCAACTACAACGTGTGGCGGAAGAAGTTCATTCGAAGGGCAGAGGAGGTGGACCTCTTGCCGTACTACAGTCCCGACGAGGAGACGAAGGAGGGAGTTGCGCCTTCCACGACGGATACGAAGGAGAAAATAGCGGCGTTCAAAAAGCAAAGTAAGCAAGCGTTCTTTCAGCTTTGTCACTCAGTTGCCGATGGAATCGCGGTGGATTTGGACCAGTTTGCAGAGGAGCTGAACTCTGCACAGAAAGCGTGGGAGTACCTGGAGTCCACGTACATGGGTACGAACGATGTCAACAAGAAGGCGATTCGGAAGCAACTGCTGATGCTGAGCATGGAGAAAGGCGAGAAAATCATCACCTACATCAACAGGGCGAAAAGCTACAACGACGATTTGCGGGTGATGGGAGCCGCGGAGACGGAGCATGAGATGATTGACTACATCATCCAAGGCCTTCCTAAAGAGTGGGAATCCGACATCGGTATGTTTACGTACCAACCGCCGGAGAGTTTGACGAAGCTGCAGGAGATTCTGCAATCGCTTGAGACGGTGAAGGAGATGAGGAAAAAGAAAGCGGCAGCAGCAGCTACGGATTTCGACGAGGAGAGGCCGGCTTTGGTGAATGCAACGAAGGCGTTTGGAGCGTGCTACCAGTGTGGAAAGAGGGGGCATAAGGCGATAAACTGCTACGAAAATCCGCGAAGCAGAAACTACAAGGGCAAAGCGGTGGAGAACGAGAAAGGAGAGAATGGGGGAGCAGAGTGGCAACAGAAACGAGGTTTTGGCGGCAAGTGCGATTATTGTGGGCGCTATGGGCATCGTGCCGTAGAGTGCTACTCCAATCCGAACAGCAGGAGCTACAAGGGTCCGTCGCAGCAGAGGATTGTGGCGGGTAAGGCGAATGTAGTGGAAGCCGAAAAGGAGGATGTGATTTTGGGAGGAGCGAATCGTGCGAACGTGGTGCGTTTACCGAAGGATGTTCGTCAGACGGACGGACGTGAGAAGACGGCATGGTTCATGGACAGCGGATGCACGCGTCACATGACATTCAGGTCAGATTGGATGGAGAACGTGAGGGAGTCGAGTGAGCGTTATATACTGCAAGGTGACAGTGGGAAGTTACCAGTGACAGGAGAGGGTGACGTGGTGCTGCAAAGTCCGTATGGAGAGGTGAAACTGGAGAATGTGCTCTTGGTTGAGGATTTGAAGGTGAATTTGATGAGTCAGTCACAGCTTGATGACTTGGGGTGCAAGATATTTTATGACAAAGGCGAGGTTACAGTGTTTGGTCCTGAGTGGGAGAAGTATGCCGATGGATTCTTCAGTGACGGATTCTATGAGATGAACTTGGTCGCGATGAACGATAAGGATGAGATCTATGAGGATCCTGGGTCTACTAAGGTTGATGAGAGCGAGGACACGGATGATACGGGAGCGAGTGTGGAGGCAGCAGTGAAGCAGGAAGAAGAGATAGTCACCATGGAGGCAGCAGCGGTGAATGATGGAGATGGAGATGGTGTCAACACTTTTGCAGCAGCGGTCGTGGTTAAAGATGAAGCAGTAAATGCGAAGTGTGTGGGAGTCGCTGTGAATGGGGACATCATGGTGAAGGGATCAAAGGCGAATGCAACTGCAAAGGGTAGAGTGCTTACGAAAGAGGAACACGTTGAGGGGTACGAGACCCGAGAGGTGTTGGGTGTTAAGATGCCGAGGAGAAGTGAGAGGCTTACGAAAATCTCTCATGGTTTGGACGTCATGGTGCTCAACTTCAAGACACGTAAGCAGAAGTTCAAGGTGCAGGAGCTGCAGGGGAGCATGAAGCCGACTTAGACCCTGTGAAGGCTACGAGGAGCAGGGGAGGAGTGCGAGTAGAGTTCGCGGTATATCTCTTGCTATTCTCTTTCCTGTCAGCTTCATATCTTGTCTTGACATTTTGGTTTTCATGGCTAAACAGGGTATATACGCCATTTCAAGCTCAACAAGGTCTTCCCACATACAACAAGCCAAGAAGACGTGTTTCAATATGCTTCAGAATTTATCAAGAGCGTTGTTGACGGCTATAAGGTAATATAGTAACTACTTGTTCGCGCAAATATATAAAGTTTCAAGCTTGTTGTTGTTTTCAGGTCTGCATGTTTACATACGGCCCGACTGGGTCCGGCAAGACGTTCACAATGTTTGGCCCACCAAAAAATGAAGATCTTCGTGGGATCATTCCACGATCCGTGGAGGATGTGTTCAAACTCACGCAGGAGAGGTCGTTGATCGGCTGGACTTACACCATCGAGGTAAGTTAAAAATGATGGTGTGATTCTATGATGATAGCTATACCTGCACGCTGGATCCTTACTTGCACGCGCCACAAGTTCTGTCCCTATGTCTCGCTCAGCCACTCCGTTGTGCCTATGTCTCTTGCACAGGTTTCACTACTGCAAGTCTATGGAACCCAAGTTTATGATCTACTGGTGGGTTTCCGTGAGGGGGATGGTTCTTCTCGGGCTCAAACAGGGAGCGCAACCGTCGCTGGACCTCTAAAGATAATCTATCAAGGGGACGATGAGCCTCGCATCCCTGCTCTCAACGTTGTTCGTGTTCAGTCCGTCGAGAAGGCAAAAAACGTTCTTGCCTTTGGATACAAGAAAAGGTATGACACTTCTGCTTCTCTGGTCATATTTTATTATATGGTAGCAAGCAATGCACTTATCCTATTGCTTGTCTTTTACAGAGCTGTTGCAGAAACTGCGGTGAATGCAAACTCATCGCGTAGTCATGTGATCTTTACAATTCACTTGACTGGCACAAAGGAGGTATGTATGTGATTTCCAAAACGTAAGCTTCATCACAAGCACAATGAACATTTACAACTTCTTTCAAACTGATCCTTCGACTCACCTGCAGGCCACTGAAGAGGTGTCACATGGCATTCTCAAGCTGGTCGATCTGGCTGGTAGCGAGGATACCAAGAAGTCAATGGCACAAGGCGCAACAAAGAAGGAGGCCACTGTAAGCGAATTGTTATCATCCGACATAATATGTCCCTCTTGTTGATGCTTACCACTATAATTGGCTTTCCTGTCCCCCTCCCTTCCTCGTTCACTATCTCTACCTTATACTCTCTACCCTCACATATGCCACTGATTGCTTTTGCCCCTACATCTACCTCTGCATAAGTGATTGTTTCTCTGTCTCTATCTCTGCCTTTGCCTCTGCCTCTTCATGTCCCTCTCCCTCTGCCTCTGCCGCCTCTTCCTCTGTCCTTTCCTTTGCCGCATTTTGTCTCTTCCTCTGCCTTTGCAATACTTTCTATATGTGTTTATGCCTCTGCCTCCTTCTCCCCTTGCCTCTGCCTCCTCCTTCTCTTCTTCTTATGCATTATGCAACCCCTCTTTCAGGCTATCAATAAAAGCTTGATGTTTTTGAAACAAGTTCTAGAAGCAAGGGCTCGTGGTGATGTGCCAACCTACCGCGATCACACGCTGACCCGACTGCTAAAGGTATAAAGCTGTGTGGTAGCTGCTTGTATTCTTTTCTTTTCTTTATAAGTATTTTTTCTAATTCTCCTTCATGGTGCAGAGCTGTATTGATGGTGACGCAAGGGTGTTGATGCTTCTCACCATCTCGCCCGAAGTGTTGAACGCCGGGGAGGCATTTAGAACACTAGAGTTCGGTGCAAAAGTCAACGAATGCGAACTCGGACCTGCAAGGCGAGATGTAAGAAGGCAGCAGCCAAAGGATGATAGTGTGGGAAAGAAGAAAGGTGGCATGACACATTAGGGACTAAAACCATACACATATTGCCAAGCTTCTCTAGATGTGACTACTTTCGAGAGTAGAGGTTTGTATACAAACCTAAGTAGTGGCATTGGAAAACCTAAAGAGTTTTATCATAATCAAACCCTCAAAAGGCTATTACTCCCTTGTACAACCAGTTTCGTATTCGCAAAAAGTAACCAAAGCTCTGCTCGGGCTAATGCACTTTGTTTAAACTACTTTGTGTGATGCGGAGCTTCCAAATCACGATGTTTTTAAATCGTGCTAACTCTGCATGCCTTAGTAATAAACTGAGGTGTAAGAAAGGCATGGTTCTGGTTCCCCCTTTGGTCGTAGCCCGTCAAATCCGCCCGTCATTCAAGCTATCGCTTCACGTGTTATACCACACAACAAGACGCTATATTCTATCCTTCTTATGTGTTGCTTCCCTAAATGCCTTCCCAGCTTGTAGCCATTCCCCTTCCGACGCGATGTATCACCCATTTCCCACACGCTAACTTCACCCATGTTTCACACGCTACCATCATCCCTTCCCCCACCCCACCAACCTACATGACCACACCCAATTCACCATTTCAGTTCCCAAGACACTACCACCCACCTCCCTTCATCTTGTCCTAAAAGTGTGGCAGTAGGGCAGCTGGGGACCCACTTCACCATTTCAGTTCCCAAGACACTACCTCCCACCTCCCTTCATCTTGTCCTAAAAGTGTGGCAGTAGGGCAGCTGGGGATCCACTTCACCATTTCAGTTCCCAAGACACTACCTCCCACCTCCCTTCATCTTGTCCTAAAAGTGTGGCAGTAGGGCAGCTGGGGACCCACTTTACCATTTCAGTTCCCAAGACACTACCACCCACCTCCCTTCATCTTGTCCTAAAAGTGTGGCAGTAGGGCAGCTGGGGACACACTTCACCATTTCAGTTCCCAAGACACTACCTCCAACCTCCCTTCATCTTGTCCTAAAAGTGTGGCAGTAGGGCAGCTGGGGACCCACTTCACCATTTCAGTTCCCAAGACACTACCACCCACCTCCCTTCATCTTGTCCTAAAAGTGTGGCAGTAGGGCAGCTGGGGACCCACTTCACCATTTCAGTTCCCAAGACACTACCTCCCACCTCCCTTCATCTTGTCCTAAAAGTGTGGCAGTAGGGCAGCTGGGGACCCACTTCACCATTTCAGTTCCCAAGACACTACCTCCCACCTCCCTTCATCTTGTCCTAAAAGTGTGGCAGTAGGGCAGCTGGGGACCCACTTCACCATTTCAGTTCCCAAAACACTACCTCCCACCTCCCTTCATCTTGTCCTAAAAGTGTGGCAGTAGGGCAGCTGGGGACCCACTTCACCATTTCAGTTCCCAAGACACTACCACCCACCTCCCTTCATCTTGTCCTAAAAGTGTGGCAGTAGGGCAGCTGGGACCCACTTCACCATTTCAGTTCCCAAGACACTACCTCCCACCTCCCTTCATCTTGTCTCCTGTCGCCAAAGCCTTCTGTCTCTTGCCAACAATTTTCTTGCCAGACTCTTACTAGCTCAGGTGCCTTAGGTTCTCATAGCTTGTGTGATTGGCTTCATCAATATGTGACAATAGGATGCTTCGCCTGTGTCGTATCCTTACTAAGAGTGAAAACAAACAGTCAAGCCGAGGCATTCCCAATTTTCCCTAATTAAGTATTGCGTTCTTGGTAACCGTTCTTCCCAACGGTGTCCTCGTATCTATTCGCCTTGACAGTTTTCCCGGCCGTGTCTCCTTTGTGATTTTTCGCCTAACAACTCTTCCCGCCATAACTGTCATGTCCATGCTACACTTGGTACTGTGGTGGTAGCTTCAAGTAATACATTTATATATAGGTCTAATTCTATTTCACTCAACCTATATAAAATTTGTGACGGCTGTCACAATCTCCTGCTTTCCTCCTTCCCTTCTCTTTCTTCCTCCTCCTGCAGTGCTCACCCCTTGCTGTCCTAGGTTCCTCTCTTCTTCCCTTCGGCACATCATACCTCCTCCTCGTCTGTATATTCTGGCTCTATCCCTTCTAGGCCCACCTGCCCATATCTCTTGCCCCTTCCTCAGTCTGTCCACTGTCTCTTCTGATCTGATTGATGGAACTTGCTTGTCTTGGACTGGGTGACCATTCATCCTCCCGCTCCTCCCCGCCGCAGTGAGGCAGCGCGCCCGCTCCCCCAGGAACGGTAGCCTGGCGCTCACTGACCCACGACCTAGCAGGTACTGGTAGTGAGTCTCTGCACGGAATAAATATCTTAAAGTACACCCTCTAGCCCCACTCTTCCTTCCATCCGACTTGTTGCTTGGGCTGCTCGGCTGGCTCACTGATGGCTCTGCGCAACTCCTTAAGGGCTGATGGTTCTCCCATATTGCACAAAAAGGACTCCCACAACCGAGTTAGGAGTAGTCCTAGCTGGCATATATGCTTCCCATCATTTCTACAGCGTCACCCTGGGAATGCTTATCAGCATCGGGCTGTTGCATTCCATCGGTGAGAATACAACCCGGTTTGCCTTATCCACCAATTTTACGAGCGTGCCCCTTCCGCCCGCTCTGCTATCCAGTGCACCTTCTTCCTTTCCGTCGACACCAGTTTTGTCTTCACAAGAATCTCGTCCTCCGATAGATGCCTTGTTAGCATAACCTTCCTTCTTGCTTAGGCCTTCCCCAGAGCTTTCCTTGTAGAGCCCATGTAAACTCTTCTCCTCATAGCTACCATCTGTGTCTTTTCCTGGAGAAGTCCCCTAGTCTTAGGTCTTTTTGTGCACCAAAAGGGCTCGCTCCACAGAAATGGTAGGTACCTATGGCTGGGGGTAGCAAGATTCAGCATATCAATAGGTTTAGGGTTTTAGGGTTTAAGGTTTAGGCTGAAACCCCTTGGGTGGGTGAGTGGGAGAGAGCTGAAACCCCTTGGGTGGGTGAGTGGGAGAGAAGGGCTGAAACCCCTTGGGTGGGTGAGTGGGAGAGAAGGGCTGAAACCCCTTGGGTGGGTGAGTGGGAAAAAGGGGCTGAAACCCCTTGGGTGGGTGAGTGGGAGAGAAGGGGCTGAAACCCCTTGGGTGGGTGAGTGGGAGAGAAGGGGCTGAAATCCCTTGGGTGAATGAGTGGGAAAAAACGGCTGAAACCCCTTGGGTAGGTGAGTGGAAGAGAAGGGGCTGAAACCTCTTGGGTGTGTTAGCGTCAATGGTGGGGGCCTGAATTCCCAGGGTAAGTGCAATGTGTAATGGTGTGGTGTGGTGTGATATGTGTTTTAATATGTGATAGTGTGGTGTGGGATGTGATTTAGTGTATGATAGTGTTGTGTGGGATACTGTGGCATATCATAGTGTGGTATGTGAGAGTGTGGTGTGTGATAGTGTGGTGTGTGATAGTGTGGTTTATGATAGTGTGGTGTGTGGCATCACATGCCAATAATGCATTCCTCGTTCCACATACGCTGCTCGTGTGATCCCCATCCTAATGCGCGCATACTCGCAGGAGGTGCTGCTGGTGTTGGACGATACCACAAAGCTCAACATGCTGCTGCAGACCCCTATCCATGATGCATTCGTTAGCGATGCATTCTTTCCTCCACGCATGCTGTTCGTGCTCCCCTTGCCTCCTGTGCTCTCCTCCCCTCCCATGCTCCCCTCGCCCCATTCTGTCTGAACTGAAACGTAATCTATCATGACAGCCCTATGCATAACGGATAACATCCTTCCCTTGTGGCATTTGGAAACTCTCAAAAGCATCGCAAAAGCCCTATGCATAACGGATAACCTCCTTCTCTCGTGACCATCGCCCACCCTCCACGCTTGCAGGTGTCGTGCAGTGTGGTGGAGACCTATGAAAAGAACCTTTGCCCGCCCCTGCTCTTCATGAAGCATCAAAGAAGAAACCTCACTTTCCCTTTCACCCTTGCTTCTGTTATTTGCCCGCCCTCCGCGCTCACAGTTGTCGTGCAATGTGGTGGAGATGTACGGCAAAGCTGCACGTGACATAGAATATTCCCTTTCATCTCTATGGGCGCACGTGTCGTGCAGTGTGGTGGAGGGATATGGCAAGGACCTCCACCCGTGTGTGACCTCACCCTAAGACTCAAATACCGCTCCAAGGTGGTTTGGGAGGTGCAAGGTGGGTTGATACAACATGCTTCATTGCCTCATTGCGTACAGGTGCTGCTCAGCTAGTCATTTAGACACTGCCGGTCCTGGGTGACATATATGCACTCGATGACGCAATGGTCACCAAACTGTTATAGTCACAATAGGCTTGAATGTGCCTAAAACGAAAGATAGAGAGCACAGACGGATTTCTGCACAGCGGCTTCAAACGTTGATAGCGTTCTGCTCACAGCTGCAAATGACTGGATTCAAATTGGATCTGGAGCGTCTTCACGTCGTCTACAATTAGCAATTTAGATTGCACGATTTGATAAAGAATTGACGACACAGCGTCGGTTTGAACGAACGGTACTATGGCAGCCACTATAGTCTTAGAACACAAGATAGGAAGAGTTACGAGTTGGGAATGACTCCCAGCTCCTACAAACCTCAAGAGCCGAGGTACAGTGATGTGGAACAGTGCCACACTGTCCCCAACCACGAAGGGTCTCGAAACTACCCTTCACTAGGGCCTACACCAAGTGAAATGTTACACTACACAAAGTAATGTAACTATCTTCAATATCTTGAGGTGTACCCTTTTTGGCGAGCTTCGAAATCACTTGAGGCTTGACACCAAGGCTCGGGCTCTTCATCACAAACTCATCCTTGAGTTCTTGATGGGTCTGCTGCACACACCTGCGACACGCCGAACGTTCGACACAGGACAAAATAGAAACCGCGCACGACAAAATAGAAACCGCGCGCGAGACACAAACGACCGCGTAACACGCGTCTAGCGATAACTCGCTATTGACTCGACACACACACTCGACATCATGACTCAACATTCACACACAATTATAAGCATGAAATATATATTATCCCATGCCCTCATACCATTCCATACACACACACATTCACGCACACGGACAACAAGCCGAGTGCAAACCGTAGGGTTGCACCAACACAAACTGGGTGTTCAGGAGGACTGGGTGTTCAACCAGGCCGCTGACACATACGCACTTGATCACGCAATGGTCGCCAAACTTAGGAAGAACAACCCCCAGGCGCGTTTTTGTCTGTCTGAATGTGTGTGCGTGCGTGTGCTGCTTCTTGGGTGGGGTGGCGCCACAGAGTTCCAGGAGGACTGGGTGTTCGACCAGGCCGCTAATACCTATGCTTTCGATGACGCCATGGCTGCCAAACTTAGGAAGAACAACCCTCAGGTGTGTGTGCGTGTGAACGTGTGTGTGCGTGTGTGAACGACACGTGTGCGTGTGTGTGCATGTGTGAACGTGTGTGTGCGTGTGTGTGCATGTGTGAACGTGTGTGTAAGTGTGTGTGCATGTGTGAACGTGTGTGTGCGTGTGTGTGCATGTGTGAACGTGTGTGTGCGTGTGTGTGCATGTGTGAACGTGTGTGTGCGTGTGTGTGCATGTGTGAACGTGTGTGTGCGTGTGTGTGCATGTGTGAACGTGTGTGAACGTGTGTGTGCGTGTGTGTGCATGTGTGAACGTGTGTGAATGTGTGTGTGCGTGTGTGTGCATGTGTGAACGTGTGTGAATGTGTGTGTGCGTGTGTGTGCATGTGTGAACGTGTGTGAATGTGTGTGTGCGTGTGTGTGCATGTGTGAACGTGTGTGAACGTGTGTGTGCGTGTGTGTGCATGTGTGAACGTGTGTGAATGTGTGTGTGCGTGTGTGTGCATGTGTGAACGTGTGTGAACGTGTGTGTGCGTGTGTGTGCATGTGTGAACGTGTGTGAATGTGTGTGTGCGTGTGTGTGCATGTGTGAACGTGTGTGAACGTGTGTGTGCGTGTGTGTGCATGTGTGAACGTGTGTGAATGTGTGTGTGCGTGTGTGTGCATGTGTGAACGTGTGTGAATGTGTGTGTGCGTGTGTGTGCATGTGTGAACGTGTGATACTGCTGGGGTGGGGTGGCACCACGGGGTGCCAGGAGGACTGGGGTGTTCGACCAGGCTGCTGACACTTAGGCGTTAGATGATGACATGGCAGCTAAACTATATAGACACTAAATAATACTTTTCAATAGAAGGTCATATTGTTAGAGCCCCTCTTGACTTATCTTCTTGGCATGCATCCCTGCTAATGTCCTTGACTTTATCTGGCTCTTCAGGTGTGTACTAGTACCCTTCGACTTCTCGTTTCCAGTGTGAACTCTCTGGTGTGTTCTTCTGCTCTTGCTCCATGCAGGCACCCGCCTTGACATGCCTTCCAAAACATTGTTAAATGTATACTGTAGGCAGCGGGGCACGGGCCACTGCAGGCCCTTCACTTCTCCAAGCCTCCACGTTGTCCCTGTTCGGTGTGGTCCCTTGGCTTTGTCCCATGCAACAACCATGCCACGGCAGGCCTTCAAGAACATTCTGAAGCGCATGCTGGAGGTAGCAGGGTAAGGTGGGCTTTCATTTTCTGACTCTCCACTTGGACTCCTTCTGGTGTAATCCATTGTTTTTATCCCATTAGCCAAGGTATGGCCCTGCAGGCCTTTGAGAACAATCTGAAGCGCATGCAGGAGGCAGCGGGGCAAGGTGGGCTTTCACTTTCTGACTCTCCACTTGAACCCCTTCCAATGTGTTCCATTATTTTTGTCCCATGAACCACTACTGTATGGCACTGCAGGCCTTCCATGAAGCGCATGGTGGAGGCAGCCGGGGCGTGGCATGTGGCAGGCAAACGACGAGGTGATTGAGAAGCTAAGATAGCTCTATGCTGAGATGGAAGATGGCATGGTAGTCGTACTTTCAGGCGACAACAACAGAGCATGCAGTAATGAGCTTATGCAAAGAAACTCCACCTAGATCATCCAACGCCGTTACAGCCCCAGTGAAATCCTACATAGGGGGTGAGGGGGAAGGGGGGACGAGGGAAAGAGAGGGCAAAATTCATGCAAGTAGAACACTGTATCTCTACAGGATTCCCGGTATGCATGGGTCCCAAACCAGACGTGCTGAACACAGAACCAGGCAAAGAAAACGAGCAGAGCAGCAGACGTGGCCACGAAGTGGATGGAATTAACTCATATGACATGTTTACACCCCATATTTAAAGAAGAAAATAGAAAACTACGAAACTGACCTGGCTCTTGGTGGAAGGCGTGTAGGTCATGACACATGGCATGCCGGCCCCGAGAGCAGCCTGCAGGCCAATCACACTGTCCTCCACCACCAGACACGATGAGGGCGGCACTCCCAGGCGCTGAAGGGAGCGAAAGGGGGGAATGAGCAATGAGCTGGGGTATGCATGAGCTGGGGTATGCATGAGCTGGGGTATGCATGAGCTGGGGTATGCATGAGCTGGGGTATGCATGAGCGGGGAGTACTGTATGAGCATTAAGGGGCCAGCAGCCTGCAGGCCAATCACGCTGTCCTCCACCACCAGGCCTGACGAGGGGGGCACCCCCAGGCGCTGAAGAGATAGAGGGACACAGAAACGAGTGAGAACTTGGGGGGATGTGAGGATTGAGTGGGCACTGAAGAGGATAAGAGTGTGAAGACAGAGAGGCACGCTGCAGGCCAATCACGCAGTCCTCCACCACCAGGCACGACGTGGGATGCACCCCCAGGCGCTGAAGGGAGTGACATGTACAGAAACGAGTGAGGACTTACGAGGGGATATGCGGATTGGGTGATCATTGGGAGGAAGATGTGAGGACTGAGAGGCAAGCTGTCTGCAGGCTGATGAGCTCTTAAACGCCCGAGCTCTAGAGAACGCCCGTCCTCTAAGGACGGTGCCAGCCGTCTAGCAAGGCGCCAGCCCTCTAGCGAACGGCGCCCTCCCTCTAGAGAATGGTGCCCGCCCTCTTGAGAATGGTGCCCGCCCTCTAGCAAATGGCGCACTTAGGTCTTGACTCACCCTCCGTGGACAAGCCTTGCGGAGGAACCAGGATTAGAGCAAACCCCTGGATTAAGGCGCGCCCCTGGATTAAGGCGCGCCCCTAGATTAAGGCGCGCCCCTGGATTAAGGCGCGCCCCTGGTTTAAGGCGCGCCCCTGGATTAAGGCGCGCCCCTGGATTAAGGCGAGCCCCTGGATTAAGGCGCGCCCCTGGATTAAGGCGCGCCCCTGGATTAAGGCGCGCCCCTGGATTAAGGCGCGCCCCTGGATTAAGGCGCGCCCCTGGATTAAGGCGCGCCCCTGGATTAAGGCGCGCCCCTGGTTTAAGGCGCGCCCCTGGATTAAGGCGCGCCCCTGGATTAAGGCGAGCCCCTGGATTAAGGCGCGCCCCTGGATTAAGGCGCGCCCCTGGATTAAGGCGCGCCCCTGGATTAAGGCGCGCCCCTGGATTAAGGCGCGCCCCTGGATTAAGGCGCGCCCCTGGATTAAGGCGCGCCCCTGGATTAAGGCGAGCCCCTGGATTAAGGCGCGCCCCTGGATTAAGGCGAGCCCCTGGATTAAGGCGCGCCCCTGGATTAAGGCGAGCCCCTGGATTAAGGCGCGCCCCTGGATTAAGGCGAGCCCCTGGATTAAGGCGTGCCCCTGGATTAAGGCGAGCCCCTGGATTAAGGCGCGCCCCTGGATTAAGGCGCGCCCCTGGATTAAGGCGAGCCCCTGGATTAAGGCGCGCCCCTGGATAAAGGCGCGCCCCTGGATTAAGGCGCGCCCCTGGATTAAGGCGAGCCCCTGGATTAAGGCGAGCCCCTGGATTAAGGCGCGCCCCTGGATTAAGGCGAGCCCCTGGATTAAGGCGCGCCCCTGGATTAAGGCGAGCCCCTGGATTAAGGCGCGCCCCTGGATTAAGGCGAGCCCCTGGATTAAGGCGCGCCCCTGGATTAAGGCGCGCCCCTGGATTAAGGCGAGCCCCTGGATTAAGGCGCGCCCCTGGATTAAGGCGCGCCCCTGGATTAAGGAGCTCCCCTGGATTAACGCGAGCCCCTGGATTAAGGCGCGCCCCTGGATTAAGGCGCGCCCCTGGATTAAGGCGAGCCCCTGGATTAAGGCGCGCCCCTGGATTAAGGCGAGCCCCTGGATTAAGGCGCGCCCCTGGATTAAGGCGCGCCCCTGGATTAAGGCGCGCCCCTGGATTAAGGCGAGCCCCTGGATTAAGGCGAGCCCCTGGATTAAGGCGAGCCCCTGGATTAAGGCGCGCCCCTGGATTAAGGCGCGCCCCTGGATTAAGGCGAGCCCCCGGATTAAGGCGCGCCCCTGGATTAAGGCGCGCCCCTGGATTAAGGCGAGCCAGTGGATTAAGGCGAGCCCCTGGATTAAGGCGAGCCCCGGATTAAGGCGAGCCCCTGGATTAAGGCGAGCCCCTGGATTAAGGCGCGCCCCTGGATTAAGGCGCGCCCCTGGATTAAGGCGCGCCCCTGGATTAAGGCGCGCCCCTGGATTAAGGCGCGCCCCTGGATTAAGGTGCGCCCCTGGATTAAGGCGCGCCCCTGGATTAAGGCGCGCCCCTGGATTAAGGCGAGCCCCTGGATTAAGGCGCGCCCCTGGATTAAGGCGAGCCCGTGGATTAAAGCGACGGTGCACATTTGCCACCCAAAACCCAGAACCCTGGCGAACTGTTACTGCGGATGGAAAGTGTCCGCACGAAATCCTGGTTTTCGCCAGCCAGCACTTTCGCGCTGGCAAGCCTGGTTAAAAAAAAAAACTTCTGAACCCAACACTGCCAAAAGTTGCCCGTCGCTTTAAGGCGCGCCCCTGGATTAAGGCGAGCCCCTGGATTAAGGCGAGCCCCTGGATTAAGGCGAGCCCCTGGAATAAGGCGCGCCCCTGGATTAAGGCGCGCCCCTGGATTAAGGCGCGCCCCTGGATTAAGGCGAGCCCCGGATTAAGGCGCGCCCCTGGATTAAGGCGAGCCCGTGGATTAAGGCGCGCCCCTGGATTAAGGCGCGCCCCTGGATTAAGGCGAGCCACTGAGTTAAGGCGAGCCCCTGGATTAAGGCGAGCCCCTGGATTAAGGCGCGCCCCTGGATTAAGGCGAGCCCCTGGATTAAGGCGCGCCCCTGGATGAAGGCGCGCCCCTGGATTAAGGCGCGCCCCTGGATTAAGGCGCGCCGCGCCCCTGGATTAAGGCGAACCCCTGGATTAAGGCGCGCCCCTGGATTAAGGCGCGCCCCTGGATTAAGGCGAGCCCCTGGATTAAGGCGAGCCCCTGGATTAAGGCGCGCCCCTGGATTAAGGCGCGCCCCTGGATTAAGGCGCGCCCCTGGATTAAGGCGCGCCCCTGGATTAAGGCGCGCCCCTGGATTAAGGCGCGCCCCTGGATTAAGGCGCGCCCCTGGATTAAGGCGCGCCCCTGGATTAAGGCGCGCCCCTGGATTAAGGCGCTCCCCTGGATTAAGGCGCGCCCCTGGATTAAGGCGCGCCCCTGGATTAAGGCGCGCCCCTGGATTAAGGCGCGCCCCTGGATTAAGGCGCGCCCCTGGATTAAGGCGCGCCCCTGGATTAAGGCGCGCCCCGGGATTAAGGCGCGCCCCTGGATTAAGGCGCGCCCCTGGATTAAGGCGCGCCCCTGGATTAAGGCGAGCCCCTGGATTAAGGCGCGCCCCTGGATTAAGGCGCGCCCCTGGATTAAGGCGCGCCCCTGGATTAAGGCGCGCCCCTGGATTAAGGCGCGCCCCTGGATTAAGGCGCGCCCCTGGATTAAGGCGCGCCCCTGGATTAAGGCGCGCCCCTGGATTAAGGCGCGCCCCTGGATTAAGGCGCGCCCCTGGATTAAGGCGCGCCCCTGGATTAAGGCGCGCCCCTGGATTAAGGCGCGCCCCTGGATTAAGGCGAGCCCCTGGATTAAGGCGAGCCCCTGGATTAAGGCGAGCCCCTGGATTAAGGCGAGCCCCTGGATTAAGGCGAGCCCCTGGATTAAGGCGAGCCCCTGGATTAAGGCGCGCCCCGGATTAAGGCGCGCCCCGGATTAAGGCGCGCCCCTGGATTAAGGCGCGCCCCTGGATTAAGGCGCGCCCCTGGATTAAGGCGCGCCCCTGGATTAAGGCGAGCCCCTGGATTAAGGCGCGCCCCTGGATTAAGGCGCGCCCCTGGATTAAGGCGCGCCCCTGGATTAAGGCGCGCCCCTGGATTAAGGCGCGCCCCTGGATTAAGGCGAGCCCCTGGATTAAGGCGCGCCCCTGGATTAAGGTGCGCCCCTGGATTAAGGCGCGCCCCTGGATTAAGGCGCGCCCCTGGATTAAGGCGCGCCCCTGGATTAAGGCGAGCCCCTGGATTAAGGCGAGCCCCTGGATTAAGGCGCGCCCCTGGATTAAGGCGCGCCCCTGGATTAAGGCGCGCCCCTGGATTAAGGCGAGCCCCTGGTTTAAGGCGAGCCCCTGGATTAAGGCGCGCCCCTGGATTAAGGCGCGCCCCTGGATTAAGGCGCGCCCCTGGATTAAGGCGCGCCCCTGGATTAAGGCGCGCCCCTGGATTAAGGCGAGCCCCGGATTAAGGCGCGCCCCTGGATTAAGGCGCGCCCCTGGATTAAGGCGCGCTGCGCCCCTGGATTAAGGCGAACCCCTGGATTAAGGCGCGCCCCTGGATTAAGGCGCGCCCCTGGATTAAGGCGAGCCCCTGGATTAAGGCGAGCCCCTGGATTAAGGCGCGCCCCTGGATTAAGGCGCGCCCCTGGATTAAGGCGCGCCCCTGGATTAAGGCGCGCCCCTGGATTAAGGCGCGCCCGTGGATTAAGGCGAGCATTAGGATTAAGGCGAGCCCCTGGATTAAGGCGCGCCCCTGGATTAAGGCGCGCCCCTGGATTAAGGCGCGCCCCTGGATTAAGGCGCTCCCCTGGATTAAGGCGCGCCCCTGGATTAAGGCGCGCCCCTGGATTAAGGCGCGCCCCTGGATTAAGGCGCGCCCCTGGATTAAGGCGCGCCCCTGGATTAAGGCGCGCCCCTGGATTAAGGCGCGCCCCTGGATTAAGGCGCGCCCCTGGATTAAGGCGCGCCCCTGGATTAAGGCGCGCCCCTGGATTAAGGCGCGCCCCTGGATTAAGGCGAGCCCCTGGATTAAGGCGCGCCCCTGGATTAAGGCGAGCCCCTGGATTAAGGAGCGCCCCTGAATTAAGGCGCGCCCCTGGATTAAGGCGCGCCCCTGGATTAAGGCGAGCCCCTGGATTAAGGCGAGCCCCTGGATTAAGGCGCGCCCGTGGATTAAGGCGCGCCCCTGGATTAAGGCGCGCCCCTGGATTAAGGCGCGCCCCTGGATTAAGGCGCGCCCCTGGATTAAGGCGAGCCCCTGGATTAAGGCGAGCCCCTGGATTAAGGCG